TTTGTCTAGAAAAAGCAACGATTGTTAATAATATTTTTAAGAGTTTAAGGCTTTTATCTATAAAAAGCAACAATAAAAGAAAATCCCCTAACTCTCACCCGAAACACATAATCATCTCTTCCCCCCAATCAACATAATCAACGATATCCGTAGATATCGGCACAGGTTCTAGATATCGAACAAACATTAATCAATCTAATAATCTCTCCCAAAAACTTGTTGCGTTAGAAAATCTCTCAAATCGCCCCCAACCTAACGAAAGCGCAACACTACCGCTACATATGCTGCAACAGTAATGATCATCCTGGATTACAGTATACAGGATTGATGAATGTCGTAATGTCGTCGTAAATAAGTAAGCAAAAAGGAATTTGCCGTAACCTTAATTCTTAAAGTTTGATTTTGACAGTAACTATAACAACAATACAATACGTAATTCTAATATGAATTTATCGATCCTTTTATGCTGCGTTATAATCTTACTCTTTATGTACAGTAGCGGCCATAAGTATCCGAATGCCGGCATTGCCAAATTAACGTTATAGAGCGCGGTTAAAGCGTAGTCCATCACGTGATATATATCAAAAATATTAAAAGGTAATTTTAACATTAGGGTTAGAGTTGGGAAGGAGATCAAGGTTGTATATAAAATTGCCGCCCGACATTTCTAATTAGCGCTCCAAGATAGATTTAAACACCCGTCTTCCGTATTTTTTCATTTTTTGTCTTTGCTTCAAATTTGGTTTGCCGGGTTGATTAATTGTTCTTCGGACAGTTTATCGGATGGACTACGCTTTAACCGATCACCCGAATTTTATGGGCGTTAAATGTATTACGCACCTGATCAGTCATTTCATAACATACATCTCAATATCTAATGATCTGCTTCTTGACATCCAGTGATTGATTAAATTTGAACAAAAATACTAATATTTGATTTGTCTCAACTAGTCGCATCGAATGGTCACTGGACGTAGAGATATTATGTCCTAAAGTGACCAATTTATTGTATTTGGGCATGAACATAAAATACCCAAACAATCTGTCGTATTACATTTAACGCCCAGAAAATTCGGGTGCTCGTTATAGTATAATTTTGAGCAATGCCGGGTGTTCGGATACTTATGTACATGTATATCTGAATTTTTATCGTTATGGTTCTAACAAACAACCCACGATCGATTTCACTTCATATGATTTTTCCGATCCCTGACGATCAACCAGGCAAAACAAATCCGCACAAGAAAATGAACAATGCAAAAAATAGATGCCTAAATCTAAATTGTAGCACTAATAAAAAATAACGGGAAGGCAATTTTACATATAACCTTATGCCTTTAATTAGTGCGGAATGTGTCGGGTAATTGTTGTGGCTGGGAAAATCGGATCATAAAATCACATGAAGGAAAAATCGATTTGGGTGAGCTGGGTAAAATGTTCTAACACTAACACTTGACATATTTTGATGCCCATTTGTCTTGTTCTCTGAATCATGATTAATTAATAATAAAACAGACGAGTTATAAATAGAAAATACGGGAGATAAAATCCTTGAATACCGATACGTTATTATTAATATAGACTACATAATCATTAATTTTATTATAAAGAATCCTTTTTTAGGTCTTCAAATAAATACGTATCGCTATTGCATTACGCAAGTATTCTTAATTTGATTTCGAATGATGAAAACAAATACATAAATAGCAAGAAAGAACTATAAATAGATTCAGAGAGTGTAATACAGTAATCGCAGAAATTATTACTAATGATCTAAAGTAAAAATTAATTGTTAGAAAGCATAAAGTATTAAAGAGAAAAGCAGAAAATTTTGAATTTTATTTTAATATACAATATACATAGAAAGTTACGACTTTAAGGAGGAGGCTGCGATTATTTAGAGGGTTGACTGTATACAATTATTCAATATATGATCATTTCATAAACATTTTTGTAATTATTTCAAGCTTATTTTCTAGTGCTTCTATTTTTGATTCTAAGTTTATAATATCATCCTTATTACAAGTGCATTGTTTGGAATTTTCGGTAGGAGCATGTAAGGATAAAGAAAAAAAATTTGATTTGCTATTATCACTGTAATCATAAGGCAACGAGATTGTATCGTTCGAGAAATAAGTAACAGAATCTAATTGTGGAAAAATGTCTAATGAAGAATTTAATGACTGATCTCCGTTTGCAGAAGTCTTATCAAGATTACTATTAAATGCAAGAAGATTGGAATTTAAAAGGTAATTTTCGTACTCTGATTGATTTTGATCAGAAGATTTGTCATTTTTAGTAATACGATTAGTTTCATCTAATGATGAGGTATGATGCAAAGAGGAATTGGTTGATGGTGACGATTCATTCGTATTCTTCTCTTTTCCCAGCACGTAAAATTGATTCATTGATTCTTTTTCATTATCCATATTAATTTGATATTTATCTTTACATAATTGCTTATATATTTCACTGGCTTCTGCAGCGATATAACGATAGGCCTTTTGCACGTCTTCTGGTTCTTTATTCCAGGCTGCTTTTGCCATCGACGAGAGTTGTGGTTGTGTGAACACTGGATGTCTTACTTTTTGAAGTTGCTTACAAAAAGCCATCCGATATGCAATAAAGGCATTTGGTATCCTTGAAATTTTACCAGAGTTTTCCAACTTTAAAATCGCTTTTTGAATAAGATTCAATGATGTTATTTCTGGTGGAAATTTTGGAACAATTGATGAAACATTAAAATCTTTATAACTCGATGTGCTATTGTTGGTCTTCATGATGCTTTAAATTACTCTCGATTTTTGATATGTTTTTCGTGAGTGTAGTGAAAGATCCCAATAATAAAATGTTGGGGTATTTATAGTTTAATTGTCATTACCAATGTAAATTAAATTACCAAAGACTCTTTGCATAAACTACGTTGATTGTACACTTTAAATGAACTTTACTACAATTTTCAATCCAAAAATAGATCAAATAACCAAATATGTATACTACTAATTTACTAAAAAAAGAATGATCTTTGCGAGTTATTATTAGTTGTTTATATTAAGGAAATAAGCTTGAGGCTAAAGGTCGTTATCTCTCAAAATTAGTAGTGGTAATAAAATTCTAAAAATAACCTGAGGGATGTACGAAAATGTTGTACTCTACTCTACGTATTAATAATATATAATGTTGTACGACGTTTGATTCACATTCCGTATATCGTAACGTTTAAATATAACCTAATATAGCAAGAGAAAATTTATTTAGCGTTAGTGTTAGCAAATAAAGACAAAAACGGTAATGACAATTTTCATACACAGCCAAGCAAAAACTCAAATTTATTAGTGCAATCAAACCTCTATAAATGTACATCTGATACAAAAGTGCATATATAGAAGCTTGGTTGAAAATTATTTTTTTAAATATTACTGTGTAGCGTGCATGACGATAACGATAAGTACTCCCTGCTGTAAGAAATTTAAACTCAAAATTTTATTTTAGCAAAACCAATTATTTCTTTTTCTTCTGCCAAGTAATAATTCCAAGAAAATTCTTATTACTGGAAGAATGGCTTCGAGGTAGATTAAAGGGCAAAGTTTTTACGTTGCGTGGGAGGGTACGTATTTTACACGACGATATAAAAAATTAGATTATTAGGAGATTTCAGAAAGTTGCACATTTTAAAATATTTTGAATCTTTCAAACTAAATAATTCCAGATGCTAGAGATCAAATGAAATAAAAAGCTTTTTTTGTTGGAATTCCGACGCTTTATAATGACACGTAACAAGCCTACGTGTACCAACTAGAATATTCTACGTTGCGTTATCGCCAAAATATGAAACTTTTTATTCTATTAAAGGCTTTTACCATTCATGTCATTTTTTCTTGGCATTGCATTAAGACATTACGTGTGCGTTAACACATAAAGATATTTTTTGTTTTGCTTCTTAAATTTAAAACCGTATAATGAATGCGAGAGAGTCGGCCGACTTCTGTTAATTTCGTCGTTACCTCATCGATGTTTCAAAGATTTGAAACAAACTGGGAAAAAAATTTTCACGCCATTGTTGGAAACAAGCCACTTTTTTGTGCGTGTATTTCTTACACAACTGTGGCAACAAAGACAAAAAATTTTTAATTAATTATAATTATTATGCACTTCCTTTAATTCCCAATTTGGTTAACAGATGATGATCTATGATGAATAGAACAAAAGAGATTGTATTACATTTATAGTCAAAATAATATTGGTACTTTGAGCATTGTATTTGTGGTCAAAAAGCTTTTTTCCTCTTTTCTTCCCTTTACTACATTTGAATGGGATGTGTTTAATAATAACGATTATTCCTCAAAAAGATCGTATTGTTGAATTGGTTGAGCGTGTCAACGTATCACAATGCTAGACAATATGTAAAGTAGAGGATAACGATAACATATTTTAATCCAGTCAAAGTATAACTGTTCAGATGAACTAAACAATGGTACGTACGTACGTAGTTTTTGAAATTATGCCGACATTTCTCTAAATCCGTACGTGCGTTAAAACAATCCGGCCAATTACTAACTCTAAAGCCAATAAGGTTATAGTTACATAACCGAAGTTTGTACGAATAACGCATAGTTTTCACCTGAGTTTCAAGTTTCATGACCACTGCACTGTCGTAATCGGGAATTATGCTGAGCTGCATCATCATAAATGAGTTTAAGATTTCTCTTTGTACGTAATTGTTTATTGTCATTGTTGCCGTAACATCGACGAACTCCGAGTAAATATTGTGTGTCTAACTATCACGTCATTCGTAGTTTTCGCTTGGCAATTAAACTTTATTCTTGAAACCATTTCTAGAATAACAGTTTAATTACTAGATTCGTAAATACTTGTATATTCTCCAGCCTCACACATCCAAAAATGGGTGACACGTAAGTATCGCATTAATGTGATGTGACATCAACAAAACCGTATGCTTAAAAAAGTAATCAAAAATAAAAAAGGTATAAAGAGGTTGCATTCCAGGTTGCTCAATTTTTTCTGGGATTCAGGGATTTCGATCATTTATATACATAGCAACGAATTTAAAATTGAAAAAAATCAGAATTTTCGATAGAAAACAACATCATGGAGTATCTTTACAGAAGTCAAAAAAATCGTAATTTACCAGCCAACAACACTTCGAACAAAAAAATCGGACCCATCCAACAAGTAAGCCCACGATTTCCCCCCGATTTAACTGCCGACACAATACTTGAAAAAGCGATTTGGAAACTAAGAAATTTCAGACAGGCATCAAGAGTTCCGAATGCATTTATCGCCTACAGAATGGCTGTCTGTCAAGAACTTAGGTTAATGAATCGCCGTGCAATTACGCAGCCACAACTGTCTTCAATGGCAAAAGCCTCCTGGGCTAAAGAACCGGAATATGTTCGAAAGGAATATCAGCGTATTTCATCAGAAGCACGAGACTTGTACAAAAAAATATATCAAATTTATATGCCATCTGTTGATTCAGAGAAAAAGAATCAATCCCCAGATTCTTCTATTAATCCTATTAATCAAGATAGTAGTATACAAATTCAGCAAGAAAATGGCATTAACGAAGAAATCGCAATTTGGCCTCATTATGCAAATTCACAAGTCGATATTACATACTTAAACTCATCACCTGACATGTATTACAACGATAACCAGTTCCAAGAAGAGAAAATAAATTCTACGAATCAAATGGTGTATTTGCAAAATTTCGATGCCTATACATTTAACGATTCCCAATCTTTTTCCACTTCACCCACATCTGAAACTTTTAGTATTTCTTCCCAAACGTATAATGACGTTCGTTCAGAATTCGAGGTGGAAGGTTCTGTTCATAATTCTCCAAACATATCGTTCGATTATCATTTAAACGATGCATTTAATGCGTCTCCAACGAATTTTGAATCACAACCACAACATATTTCTCAACAACCGGAGTTTGATGGTTGCAAGCAATGTGATAGCTATAAACAAACATTGATCTCGATGCAAACTCGCATAAACTATTTGGAGCAGAAATTAGCAAACTTAACGGGCTCATCCGAAGAATTCTATTAAAAGACTCTAAATATCTTAATACTCTATACAATCTTCGCATTCTAATAAGATTATAATTAGCAATCAATAATTGGGGATTTTTCTTAATTGATAAAATCTTTTAAGAGCATGAAAATAAACACTTATGATGATGACACAACTGTATTAAATAATTATGAAAATTAGACCTCTTAGAATATAACTATATGAAATTAAGTATGCAAAGCTTACCGTGCTGTTTCCCCTAACACTTTTATGATTATTGACATTATTAGTTTTAAGAATGCTGACTTTTTATACAAAAAATATAGAAACAAGTTAACCGTGAAAAGATATTACCGAAAGAACGAAATGTCCATTCTTAAGATAGATCAGCTTTAATATAAAGTTCGTCGCTTACACACCCTTTTATTTTTGCGTAAAAATAGAAACGAGATGAGATTATTCGATTTGTGTTATAAAAATTATCTACGAACATATTATTTTTTACTGTACAGAAAAAAATTGATGTATTATATTTTTGTAAAAGGATATTTTCACAAATGTAATATAAGTAAAAAAAAATTTTTTTTATATTAGAGATCGCAATTCTTGAAAAGTTTAATCCGGATACATAAGTTAGAATCAATTAACGTTAAGATAAAATGAGTGTTTTACATGTACAGTCGTCACAAAAAATAACGTTCGAACCCGTCTTAAAATTATATAGTAAAATACTTATAAAAAATTTTTTGTTGATTTTATAATTGAAACAGTTCTTACATTTTAATAAAGTTTCCTAAGTCTTGTCATTTTTTCAAAAATATAATTGATTACTTTAAAATTTAGAAATAGTTACTAATAGAAATATTAGATATAGAAAGCGTGAGAAAAAAATTTTTTACTTTCCAATAAAAAACAGTCTTGCATTTTAAGTTGCCACAAGTCTTGTATTCTTGTTTTTGAAAAATACAATCAATTAGCTTTAAAATGATATAAATTTAGAAATTATTATTATAAAAAATTTAGACATATACATAGCTCGAAAATTTCCATTTTTAATATCGATGTTTTACTATATAATTTAGACCGGGGGGCGGGGGTACTGTACTTTGAATAACGATAATAATAACCATACTGAACAGTAGATCAAAAATAACGTGATTGAAATTAGCCAATCGGGGTAATCAAGTTAGCATCCGATATTTACGCCATTTTAACGATAATGCACTTCATGCATTGGACAAATCTGAATTTTTTTCAAGATCAAAATTATGAGAAATTGCATATACTCACATTGATATTCTTTATGCACAAACATGCAGAAAATTCGATATCTTGATTAAGTTATGAATGGTCTGGAACAAAGGTACTCGAATCGTCTTGTTTCTGATTTGAGAAACAAAAGTATGTAGCAAGCGAACGATACGCAGACAGACTGCATCAAACTCATTTACTTGCATTCTTTAACAACTTCCTTTTATTTTTGCTGCAAAGAACTCATGCTTCGAGGCACATCGCATACATGTTATTATATAATGAATTATTATTGGTTCAAAATATGTTCAATTTTAATCTAATTGACTAAGTGGCACTACATATAATAATGTAATAATGTGATTGTATCAACTTGTGGAAAGTGAGAAGAGATTTCAGAAATTAGATAGTTTTGTAAGTATATGCAAAGCTACAATTGTGAATACGAATCCAAGTAGTCTATTTGTCACATAAGGGAAATAAATGTTTGATGAATACTAGAATTCTTAAAACGTGCCGGAAATAAATGTAATTTCCGCGACTCCATTTCGTCAATTGACGTTTGCGCTTCGGGAAACATGTATTTTACAAAGACATCAAATCTTTTTTGTGTAAAAAGAAATTTCACACAGAATTCATCTTTTATATTGTAACTTAATCAGCCAAGTTAAAATCTAAAATTAAAATTTTCTAAATTTATGCAGATGCACATCCTAAAAAACTGAATCAACATGTATACATTACATACATATTCTATTAATTCTATTAATTCTATTAATGCAAAAGCGACTTCTTTATATAGAAGAAATAATAAATTTCCCGCAAAAATTGGCAAAAGAATTAGGGTAATTATTTTTAGATTGCGTATCGATGATCTTTCCACTTGTCTATTAGTGAACATAATTCGTATGCACAAATGACGAAAAGGCGCTTGTTGATTTTCTCCCCCTGGTTTTAGGCTTTTCCTTTTGGGAATCATATGTTTGAGTGTGTTTGAGTGATGACGCTATCTTCTCAATTGCGATTTCTTTGTTAGGATTTATGATGTGTAACACTTTCAACTTCTAATATTTTTGTGGCGTGGTGTACGAATACTAGATAGGGTTGTTGAAATCGCCATTACATAACCCCAATTTTTCTTATATATGCTTTGCCACAGTGAATGTATTTTTTGAAGACCCTTTTTCTATGAATGATTCACTCATTCTTTGATGAACTATTATGTGAAAAATCCTATGATGTAACATTTTTGTAATTTTTCTGTCATTCATTTATTGTTACGTTAAGCCGCAGTAGTTCTTCATTGTTTCGCTCGAAAGAGAAAGGCATAATGAAATTGGGCTGAGTATTTCCTTTTTTGTAGTATCGTATGAGTGATGTCGGCTAAAAAAATAAAATTTCATTAGTTCACTCATAATAATGGATATTTTTAATTAATCTATTCATAAATGTTCCATTCCAAATCATGATAGTATCTTTAATTAGATTTTGTTTTTTTAGCTGATTTGATTATGTGATGAATGTCATGCTTTTCGATGTGCTTGTTCCTTGAACCGTCAAATTAGCGACTAAACGTTTTGACTCGTCTTCTTCTCCGTGATGTATTGTCACATGATTGATGATCCGAGATAAAATGTTCTTAAAATAGTACACCAAGAAATTTTTAATTGTTCCATTAACGTTAATTTTAGAGTAAGAACACAGCAATGGGTTGTGTTTCCGACCATTTAAATATAATTATTCAATATACCGAACCGACTATATAATACAGATAAAACATGTACAAATGCACTGAAACGACTAGTACAGATTAATGCAATTAAAATAGGACATACAACATAGAATCGAATCAATTAGGAAACACAAATAACATTTGTGAGATGGACCAATTTGGTGCCACGGGAAGCGACGGGGGGACAGATATCCGTAACGTCTGTATGTATAAGATTTATTTTTATAACAAACATTCTGTCTAAACAATGTACGAAAGAATGCATAATAACAAATTGTTTAGTATCAGATCAAACACACCCATAAGTCACCAATGACGAAAAGAATGATGAATATGGTAACTTGTTTATGGGAAATTGTTGTATCCATGCAGGTGATTGGTTAGCGTGTGAGGACACAATTACCACAGAAAATATAAATAGCGGCAGATTACTCTAGTCAATTCTTGTTGCGTTTTCAACAACCATCATTTAATGTTTTTGTTTATCTATTGTTATGTTTATAAATAATATATTATTAGAACAAAGACGAATTAACGCAACGATATCTAAGCAGAAACGAATATTAACGAAATATAACCATAAAAAAATTTTTAGAAAATGCAAGTAAATTCAGTAAATTCAACTAAAAAATCAGGTTTGAAATTAATCGAACCGGTGATTCCTCGTTTTCCGCCGGAAGTGACAGCTTTAGATCTTCTCGAAAAAGCAACTTCAAAACTTCAAACGATTCAACAAACTTCTCGCATTCCCAATGCGTTCATAGCATACCGTATGGCTGTATGTAAAGAACTTCGTCGGAATAATCACCCTGTAATTACTCAACCTCAACTCTCCTCGATGGCAAAGCAATCTTGGTCAAAGGAGCCGGAGCATGTACGAAAAGAGTATCAGCGCATAGCCGCTGAAGCAAGAGATGTTTACAAGAGTCTTTGTAATATTCATCTTCCTCTTCAATCCAACCACGAAGCTCAATTGATCGAGCCGGTTATTGAAGAAACTACCGACAAAAAACATACTAGTAATGAATCTGTTCAGAATTCACTGTCACAGAAAGTAAATGACGTCTCTGAACTTGCGACACTTCCTTCTCCGTCGTGGTCCAATTCTACTGTCGGAGAGGTTCCATCGTCATTAAATACATCAGATACTTCGCCAATCGCAGACTTTTCCATAATTAATGAAAGTGAATATATGCTACAGTATACGCCGGTACAAATTCCAGATGAAAATAATTCTTTGTATGATTCTTTCGATTTTCATCAGCTTTTTCAAGATTACGGCTTAAATCAATTTGTCGATGAATCTGTTGCGTCACAACTTGTACCGATCAATTACGACTTGTCAAGTTCTGACTTTTACTCAAAGGATGATTCTATCGTGGCAAGTTTCCATAATACATGCAGTCAGCCCGAATCAACATGTGAAAAATGTCGAGACACGATTATGCAGTTAGAAAATAAAATAGGAGAATTGGAACAAAAACTCTCTAGTCTGACATCTTTAATTTCAACGAAGTTAGCAAAAAAGGGTTCGGGGCTTTAGATTAGATAAATATTTTTTTCGATTAGAATACTTGTAAATAGTTAGTCTATAAAATAAGAAAACAAAATATGCTAATTTCCTCAAAAATGTAAATAAGATGAATATCCAAATTATGTTTATCTAAAATAATAATAAATCGATGTTTGAGAACGTTAAAACATCTAGCGACAGTAACCGAGACAGACATCCTGTCTGTCTTAGAATTCGAAATGCGCGTCTAAACAGGATACAGTGTTTCATATGCATTAGAACTCTCAAAGATATAAATGCGAAAATTAATATTTATTAAACAAGTTATGGAATTTAGCACACTATCGCTATGGTGCATAACATTTAAAGTCATCGAACGTTTGTACTTTATCAAATGTTTATATTTTATAAGTAATAGTAAATACAAAATTTATGTTCAGAAAGGGTTTATTCTATCATATTCACGGGTTAAATTTTGTATTTACTTATAAAATATAAACATTTGATGACCAGATGTTATGTACCATACGTATAAAAAAAATACATGTACGTAATTCGAGAAATTGATTTCTATCCACAATGGAATTTCTCTTGTTGTACCGATAAAAATAAATTTAAAAATGATTTTTCTCGGCGTTAGTAATTCATATATGAACGAATCGAGTTCCTCACATAGTGGATCAAATATGGTTCATGAGTAACAACCTTTCACCATTGACGTACATTGCATTATTGGTAATCATCACCATAGATAAGACACGTTTTTAGAAATAGCGATAACTATTAAAATTTTTTAAATTATCTGACTGCATACGTAACGGTAATAACATTGTTATGAATATAATATTCTATTACAAATTTTGTATTCAATCGACACTAAACATATTCTATTATTGTAATTTTAAGATAAATAGCATTTTATCAAAGAAACAAACTTACCTCTCTAAACTCACATATTACCCGGTTTCAGCTATTATGACTTTCATATATTCTTAGCCTCTTTAAAATTACACTGTTTCTTGTCCCGAGGATGTGATAGTATGGAGGGACGATTGCATATTAGATGTCACACGATTCTGATAGAACATTCTATCTAAATATATTGAGTGTACTATTTAAGTTTAATAAGCATCGCGACGTAAACTTTTAAAAGATCTTCTCACGATTGTTTTGGCAAAGTAGACATTTGTTTACATTAATGTGTTTATAGGTATTTATTGCATTAAAGTGTGATAAAAGCGGTTAAAAAAGCAGAACCATTGTTCTTAATCAAGTTTTTTTTTTGCATTAACGTTAATATATGTACATAGGCTTAATAAGTATCACACAATAAAAGCTTCACTTAAAAGATTATTCGTTTCTTATCTAATATGTTCTAAATAACTTGTTTTGCAATTACGCAGTCAACAGGTATAGTCAACTCAATAGATCAAAGAACCGAGTGTATTAACGGAAATTTCCGACATATGTGTATTTCTTTTTTCTGCAGTCTAATTCGAAAAAGAGTTTATAGGTATAGATTAGGTCCTAAATTTGGGCATCTATCGAAATATATGTAAAAGAGCCAAATTAATTATGGCTGTCAAGAAATAATTTGTAGGTTAGATATTTAGTTAGTTTCTCAAATTTGTTCAATCTCCTGGCTTTAAAACATTTACCCTGCCTGCTTAATTAAAATGTTTTTATATTGTATTTAGCATGTCTGTCAACTCTATGAAACCGAAGTGGTCAGAAATTTAAAAACATTCGTTTAGCAGAATTTATTAGTAAATTCGGTTTATCAAGGCTGAACAAACTTCAATTTATGGAGACGAGTTTATTATAGTTGTTGCCGGAACCAACTTCGGTTTATGCAGGTTTTAATTGGTGCATCAGTTGAACTGCGTAATATAAGACTTATATTTTTAATCATGTGATAGTTCTTTATTTTGAAGCTTCTATATATTTGCAAGAGGAGGTTGCATTTAGTCTACAATCACATCATTGACCAATACAAAAACTTTAACAGCTTTTTTTGCTTAATTTGTACTTTAAATCAAATTATCAACACTTAACTTTATTACGTATATTTTCGATTTAAAATACATGCATGCATATCTAAATTGATCTTAATGCAGTAAAAATAGTAAACATACGCTCAGCCAGCAGTAAAAATAGTAAAAATAATAAAAATACATTCAGCTTGTGCGATTTTGTTGGGACTTGGCTAAAGATTCCGGAGGCTTTGATATTCGGGTAAAATCCGCAAATCCATATTTGTCAAATCTACATATACGGGTATTAAGAATTACTGCATATCGTTATATAATGATCGCACGTGGAAATAAAGTTGGCAACTAAGATATAATTAATTAATTTACAAAGAAATGCATATTGAATTAGGTTAAGAAAAGTTTGTAGGGGGAACGCATTTTACTCTATTTGAGGAATTCGATCCTCGTCAATAAACGTGAGTGTCCACTCCTATTATTTCAAGATTCATAATGGAAGGACTCTATTCTCCGGGAACATAAACTTGAATTTTACATTCATAGGCGAGAATTTCGTTTATCCGAAAACGATTGTTGGCCGAAAACTGAAATATTTGGAAAGGTATTGAATTGCCTAATATTTCTCAGCCCTGTCCAAAAATAAATGCCCCTTTTTTCATTATAAATTGATATGTTTCACTGAGAAATAAACAAATATTTGAAAAAGTATAAAATCAGTACTTGCATCTTTCAATACCCGTGTTGCTTTCAAAAGCACCACAATATCATATAAACTCGATAAATGCAAAAACTGGATAACGAACTTATCTTTTAAAAATGCAATCATCTAATCAAAAAAACAGTGAAATGAATCCAATTCTATCTATAACGCCGTATCCACCGATTGTTACGCCTCAGGATCTACTCGCGAAAGCAGGCGCAAGACTTGAAAAAAGCGGAAAAGTATCCAGAATTCCAAATGCATTTATCGCATTTCGCATGGATGTCTGTCGTGAAATTCGTTTTATGGGTGATCATAACATTAGCCAACCTCAACTTTCTTTAATGTGCAAAACTTTATGGGAAAAGCAACCAGAATATGTCCGAAATGCTTATCAACACATTGCAGCGTCCGCAAAAATTCTTTACAAAAGAATGGTTCAAAATCGCATACAGCAAAGATTAGGAGAAACCGGTGAAAAGAAGACTTCGTATGAACAAACACCGTTTCTAGATGACGAGATGAACGAAAATCTTGATCCAGTAAATCAAGCTGAAAATCCTTCTTTTGTGACAATGACCTCTTCCGAAGTGTCTGCACATGATTCTTCGATATTATCATCTACCACAGCAGCTGGTCTCGCTCTTCCTACTTACAATTCGAATTTGACTCTTCAAAATGAAAGTCAAAATCATATTATCGAAGAATCGCAAAATTTATCATCAATTAATAATTTCAGACCTCCCGAATTTAATTCGAATTTCTCTGATCCCGTTCAAACACAAGAATCCTTTTCAGCCGAATCATTCAGTAATGAGTATTTACATTTAGAAGTTCAAACATCCTATTTTGATCTTTCTTTCGGCAATATTAATTTTGATTTGATGGATTCGGGAAATGTAATGGAACCGTCGAGTTTTGAATCCTTCAATAACAGAGATCAAGAATTCCGTTCCGATATGCCCTTTCATTCAACTTCTAATAATTTGAATGAGATTCAACAACCAGATCATAATCTAATTGATATTATTGTTATGAATAATAGTGCTGAGAAAACTCATGCGCACGATCATTGTAATGCTGGAGATTATATTATCGAATTGCGCTCAAAACTTCAATTTTTAGAGCGAAAATTAGATACTTTGATAAAGTTTTTGAACGAGAAAGGATTCGAGGTAAATGAAAATTAGATAAAAATACTCTCATATTTCATAAGAAATCTATAATTAAGCTTTGATTTTACGTTTTCAAATATAAGCATATTTTAAATTTTCGATTTAAATTTGTTTAAACAAATATCGTCTCATTTTTTGTTTATGTTCTACTTAGTTTCTTAAATTTTAAATCACAATAAATTTCTGTTTACGTTTATCTAATGTAATTCGTCAGATTTAAGTGAAGTACGTAGTAACCAAATGCCAAAAAGGCTTACAAGGACAAAAGATTACCCAAGTAGCCCAGCACTGTAAAGTGAATAATCCCGCTCTAATAGCCAAAAGAATTCAGCAGGTAAAAAGCCTTAGGAGTAGTTAGGAATTTAATAAATAAAGCATACGTAAGATGTTTCCGTATTTATTGTTATACATAAAAATCCGAAATGTTAAGATTCGGCTTTACGTAATTATGGTAAATAATTTAACCGGGCCGGGGATGACGTTAAATTATGCTTAGGAAATTCTCCGATTAGTCATGATTAGTCTTGAAATAAATCGGCCTTTAATAAACTCCATGTAGAAAGGTGAGTCCATTTCAATATTTCTCATATACAAGTGTTCTTTTATAACTGCTATCACTATAGATAAAATAGCAAGTCGCTGAAATCTCAACATTATTGGGTATTGATCCCAGTATTCTTTATTCAAGAGTTCGGTAACTTTGATATTAATTTTGTATTTATTTTTGTTTCCGAGTGGTTTATTCTCTCTTGTAAGACATTTTGTTATTTACTTAATTATTTACATTTTGTAAATCATTGCACTTCTCCTCAAAAATGAAACTTGATAGAAAGAATCCAAGCTTGCCTAGTGAGCATCATAGTTGAGATTTCGTTGAATATTTTGATATTATCATATTACTTTCAATAGATTTTTATATCTTACAGCGCTCGTCAGAAATAACGTACCTCTTAACTTTCCATAGATCATGTGTAATGTACCAAAATTTTCCGAACACAAAGAACATTATAAATGCTGATCGTTGATACTTTTTATAGATTGGTAGAGCTTCTATATTGCGCATTTTATGTGTTCATAAACTTTCGTGTACCAAATACAATGAATCGTTCACTTTAGGACATAGTATCTCGACGTCTAGTGATCCGATTTGAGCAAAATACCACCATTTGATTCGCCTAAATTAGAAAAATCGGATGCTAGTATTTTCACTCAAATTGGATCACTAGATGTCGAGATATTATCGTTATGACCTGACCTGATTCATATTGTCGATCAATTTGTTATTAGAAATTGATTTATGATGTATATCTCGATTTCCAGTGATCCAATTCAAACAAAAATAATACCATTCGATTTGTCTAATCAAGACGAATCGAATCACTAGAGATCGAGATAACATGTTCTAAATTAATTTTTGTAGACTCCAAAAAAATGCTACTTTAAGACGTAATATTTCCTCGACCAGTGATCCGATTTGAACAAAAATACAACCATTCGATTCACCTCGAATGGGCGAATCGAATGGTTGTATTTTTGTTCAAATCGGATCACTGAACGTCAAGAATTAGATTATTGAATATTGAGATGTGTGTTATGAAATAACTGATTATACATGGATGTGAACATACAACACCCGATATAGAAACTACCAATCTGTAAAAGGTATCAATGATCAGCAATTGTAATGTTCTTTGTGCTCGGAAAATTTTGGTACATTAAACATGATCTACGGAAAGTTAAGGGGGGTACGTTACTTCTGACGAGCACTGTACATGTATTTATCATCTCAACTGAAAAATAGTCTGCGAGATGCTCTCGTCTGATGTCATAACCAGATTTACAAACATCTTGTTTTCAAGGCTAAGGTAATAAGCCAGAACCAAAGTTTATACAATTAAAACCTGTAAGCACAATCGTTTGATTTTTTTATTGTTATGTGAAAAACATTCGTATACTTTTAGTTCATTAATTTATCAAACACAGCTTAGATGGCAACAGTTGTTTAGATGTAATAATTGTAGACAGGATACTCTTGAGGGATTTTGTTTGCACCCACTACATAATCGACTATTCTTGTACTGTATATATATTGACTGCATCAAACAATTTTTATCAAAGCTCGTTCTAATGAAACGATTTTTTTTCAGTAGAGCTAGTAAACTTTCTCAATCCTCGTTCATATGTCATTATCGGTTCGGCGCAATAACGAGTAGTCATAATATTGTTAGAATGATTAACGTTAACGTTATTCTCTTTTAACTTATATATTACGTAAATTGTAAAAAAATCTGCAATATATTTTATTTATTCTCTGTCCTGTCAATATTAAAACTATAAAAAAATTTATATTATTTTTTTTATTAATAATAAACCACAACGAGAATTGGACAAACGAAATTTGCCAGGGTTGACTTTGTAATCACCAATTTGACTTGTCACTCATAATAAAGTAGGGGAGATAATGTATAATTATTTCAGGGAGGGAACAATGCATGGTTGTTCTGGGGTTTTTGGTCATATGCCATACTAACAGGATTATGACATGTCATAGTTTAAAGAGAGCAAAAAAGACTGTTGTTGTTTAGATGGATCAGTTTGGTCATACTAACGCGGATGTCATGGTAACGGATGTCATATTAACGAGGGTTGACTGTATTTTATTTTTGGGAATATCGCATGTTCCTTATAACTGCATTAATAAATAACGTCTTGAAACTTAACGTTAAGCAATTTTAGTGGGTTAACATTAGCGTTAGCTTAAATGATTTTATGTGTATAACTAAAATTCTCAAGTTCATGATCGAAGAGACAACTATGCCATGTTTGCCGAAATTTAACACCTAGTATCTAAATTTATTGTTTTTTCTAACGGAAATGAAAAATTTCCCCATGAAATATCTATTAAAGAACAAATCAAGTTTGTTGAATAGTGACTGCAGAAATTCAACATTGAGAGGTATTTAATCTAGCATAGATTATGAGAATATAACGATAATAAATGAATTATTTAAGATTAGCTTTATAAATAAATCTTTCATACAGATAGACTCCTTCGTCATGAAAAATTTGTTAAAGTCAAGCTTTTGCTTTTAAATTGAGAATTCTTCGCATATTTAAAAGGAAGTAGATCGTATGCATTCGTCAAGTCAACATGAATTGTTTGCACATTCAGAAGGAGAGTTTGAAGGGTTCCTCGGAGGAAATTGTTTGTGAGCATTCGTCAAATGTGAATTAATCAAATGAGAATTGTTTCCACATTCGAAAGATTCATTGGACCTCCAGAAAGAATTTGGTTGTGAGCATTCGTCAAACGTGGATAAATCAAATGATATTTTTTTCCATGGAGAGTTTGAAGGATTCGTCAGAACATTCATCAGTTGTAAATCAATCAAATGAGAATTGTTTCCATACTCAAGAGAATGTGAAAGATTCAGCGGATGTCCGGAAAGAAATTGGTTGTGAACATTCGTTAAATGAGAATTTATATATTCTGAAGACATTAAAGGATTCGCCGGCTGTACAGAAGGAGCATTCGTTAAATGTAAAATAATCAAGAGAATTTGTTTACATATTCAAATTTGAAGAAATCAATTGCTGATCAGCGTTTAAGACTGAAAAATTTTCTTGAACAACGCTTTGGATAACGTTTTGGACATTTTTTATAATAATTTTTTTGAATTTCAAGTTAATTGGCCCAAAGCTTTGCCGCAAGCTTATTAGGTGCTTTACCACCCCATTTTCTACCTTTCCTGCACAGTTCTTCATTTATGCAAACACGCGGTACATAAAGTACGCATTATATTCGCTCGGCATTTCGCCATTTTTTTTTTGGTTTAATAGAATATTTTGCTTGCTGATAATATTCATTACCACCTTACCAATGAAAAACCGCCTTACAAACCGACAAACACCCTCCAAACTAAAAACTAGGAACTAGAACAAAAAATAATCGATTTGGGCGTGCCTCAATGACTTCAAAAAACAACCAATTTTCTTGGGATTCAAAGTGCCAATAAAGTGTGGGAAAAAGAAGGTCTAAATCGTCCATTTTCTTTAATTAACAACCACCGCTACTTCAATTAAACAACAACCTGAATAACGGAAGAAAATTCTTATTAGATGTTGGATTCCTAATAAAGGTTCGTTGGATTGATTTTCCCCTAACAAACATCTGTTTCAAGTTTTTTCAAGCTGATTCAACCCTATAGCCTGTGAATTTCAATATATTTCTAAGAAATATGGAATATACGAAAAAGTCCGTGTGTTTTACAGACATACCTAAATACGTAATTGAGTATGTAGATGTATAAAAATTTTGGACAGACTATTACATACGCATTTCTGTAAAAGACACGTAAAAGGTCACTTTTTACAGACACATTAAATTTTTCGTATATTCTCATACTTTGTTACACACATATTACGTGCAAATTTTCTTATAGGGCTAATTTTTTCAACGCGGCGCAAGGAAGTTCACATGACCATCGGTTAGCTGAGCAAAAATCACCACTCAGTCGTGCTGACATTTTGTTGTCGGCTTGGAACATTACCCGATCAGAAACCAATAAGGATGTGCAAATTTTTGATAGATAACAAATCTACTTTATGACAATGATGTTTTGGGAAGTTCCAATCAATTTTTTTTGGCTATTGTACATAATCATTGGTGGTTCCAATGACATTTTATAGGAATTGGGCTTATTTGGAAGATTTCAAGAATATCACTGTTTGCGAATTTATAAAATGAAATGCAATATCACTGATAACGATAAGAATAACGATAAAAAAATTAGCTTGTTGGTAATTCTTATATTTTCCGAACCGAAATTGCCGATCGGTTTATGCCTTACCGACATTAGTGTGATGTAAGTTATTATCATTCTTAATTTTTACACTTCATCTAAATTTCAAACTGTACCGTAGTTGGTCACCTCCCATAATCGTAAACTTTTATGTACTCCACCCGGGGGTTTGATACACAGGTAACAAGTTTGGTAATGTACACCCTTGTGATTCTGCTCAAAAATAGTATAACTCTGGATGAAAATATCATTTCATGTACAATACCCACAATTTAATATATCCTCTTCCACACAATGTCACAGAGGGTAAATTTAACATATTTGCCTGGGTGGTTTATGTGGCCAGTTACGGTACATTTTCTTGCTCTATTTCACTTTATCTGCTAGTTTTGTTCTTTAGTAAATTTTGTCTACTACATGTTTTGAATACTCGAATGCATATGATATATGCATAACATCAAATGATTGTATGTTATAGATTCAATAAACTTAACTAGGAAGTAATAGTAAGTACAAATTTTAATCTGATATAACGATAACGATTACATTTTGAATTTACTTCCTAGTTAGAATTCACACAATTATTTGATGAGTTTAGGTGTTGTGCACGAGATGGTTTGATAAATTACCGAACCGAAAAATTTCTGTCCGTATCGTCTCTGATCATTTCGATTTGGAGACGATTTATAAAGAAAAGATGAAATATTTTTTTTATTAAACAACATGGGTTATTTATAACAATACGTAATGTGTTATTTACAAACAACATTAGATAGATTCTTTTTTAGTCTTCAATTGATGGTATCATTATTTATTTGTTGTTATCTCTACTTACGCCATTGGAGGTCATTCGTCATTGACATTTTCTGGACAACAATTCATTGATAAAGTTTCACCGAAATCAGTATCAATATACATAGATAGCAATAGTGATAGTCGACAATGAACGCTAATTATAGATAAATACGTAAAAATAGTGACACACATTGGAAAATCACATGCAATCCAAAAATCTCGAATTATCGTTATTGTTATGTACATAGTTGGTTTCTATGATTAGACTGCTTTATTGTTATTTTAATAACAAAATGTGGATTAATTTGACAAAAAAATACCGATAAACAAAGCAAGTTTTTCATGGAAATAACCATATTTGATATTTTCTGAAGCTCAAAAAGGTTACGCTCGGTTCGGTTTTTTACAAACCGTTCTCAAACCGAGCGATTCGGATAAACCGAAATGATCGGTAAACACCTAAACTCCTCATATTGTATGAATTCTTACTAGGAAGTAATGTAATTCAATAGAATAATCAAGAAAGAACTATTTTATTAGCGTTAGGATTAAAATTTAACTAGGAAGTACGTACGTATTTTACTTTTGGTTAAATCTGTAGATTTATATTCTATGGACGTTAATAATTATCATTTATTATCCCACTTTTTTATATTTTTCGTAATTATTACATTTTCTTGTCTAAATATTTAACTTGTAAAATTTGCGGGTTCTACAAATTGTTCGAAAAAAATAGTACCGAAGACTTTCCGGGTGACTTTTTGTGGGTGTATTATATTTTTTAATATGCGGAACCTTGAAGGAGTAGTTAAAGTTTTTCCATGGATTTTAGAAATGATTTTAAATAGTCACAAAAAGGCGTTAAGGTGGTTGCTGATTGTGAAATGAACAGTAATACTAAAATGACTAAATTTATAGCATGATGAACCGATAATATCATTTAGTCAGTAACGGTAACAACAAAACGAACAATCAACACCTGTAATATCGTTATGCTTAATGTAGACCAATTTATAGAAAAAGTCAAACCATGTCACTTTTTATTGGATTTCCATTATCACATTTCCATATCGATAATTTTAACATTAACCAAATATTAATGCATTCAGGCCTTCATAAAAGAACACTTTATAAAGGAACAATAACATAAGTTTTGAGAACCAAGAACTTGGTATTTATATTAAAAATTAAAATTTACATCTGTTCTGTATAAGAACGACCTCTATGATAGAACACAATTTGGTTGTCCCAATTGTGTTCATTTATGGAGGTCTGATACTCTGGTGGTAATTATTTACTGACACAAATACCATGTTGAGTTATGGAATTAATAAATTGCAGACGTAATAATTAATTATTCATTTGATGAATGGGACACCTCACGCATTCACTTTCGGCCAACATTATCTCCCGAAACTAACCTTAATCTTAATCTTAACCTTATCTTAATTTGGAAACACAAAATATCGATATATATGTACTACATATTTGTTGAATACTAGAAATAGAAACTGATATTGTGACTGCCAATAGACTCATGAAAACTTTCAACATTGTCCCATTGTAACTACATGTGGTAACGTAAGCTCTATTTGTTACAATCTTTAAGACGTGGCGCTGAAAATTGTATTATTTAACTATAATGAATAATTTATCGCGAATAAATATTATACTTGTAATTTTACAATAGGTATTGTATTATTGTATTATTATTTCTACATATTATTTGAGTTTTAGTTAACGGAACGATGTACCGGAGATGGGTATGTCCAAGTGTGGATCGACTGCTGTGAAGCGTACCGCGTGATTATCTCCCAACTCTGAGAAAAGTCTGCACCCCCTACTTATGAGGGAAGTATATATATATAACAAAGATTTAAAAACTCCAATCCAAATTTGTTATTTATTTATTTTTAGAATGGAATGAGTACTTCCATATTAAATCAATTGATTTATCGTTATGAAAATTTAATTGCTTTATAGATATTGTAATTTTTAAACAACATTAAGAATGTATGGGATTTCATCTCTATCTATTTGTTGGTGGTGAAACCACGTTGATTGGTCTCAAATTTGAAAAATCTATTACTATTAATAGATTTTTTTTTATTTATAGTAAAGATTGAATCAATTTATGTAATCATCGTGTATGTGTAAGAACGACAATCTCGATGGATATATTTAACCAATCTTTTAAATATAACTATCATTATGAGTTTTCCTTTTTATTTTTCTAAAATAAGTAAATAGGTTTTTTTATTTTAAAAATTGTGATCAATCATAAGAGTTATAAATAGAAATTCGGTTATGATTAGACTCATATACACCACCAAAAAAGAAAAAAAAAAGGGCTCCAAGATGAAACAAGGAGAAAGGAACCTCCACGAAGAATTTCTCATCCATTCTTTAAGTAAAATGGGTCATTCATCGACTCTTTAGGTAAACGGGGGTCATTTCATTTAGTCTTATCCTGATACTGCACCGCGTTTACTATCTTTTTAACGCATATCCTTTTTATTGCAAACTTCTATTAGTAATATGTAACAGACAGACTATACGTTATTATTATTAATGCATAATTCTCTTAGAACTGTTCTAAAGAATACGGGAATGAATGATTTTAACAGCTTTAACAAGAAATTTTGCTTGTTGATTCCTTGGCGAAGTTTCAAGGTTACATGAATATTCAACAGTTCTTTGAGTATAAAAGCTGACGGATTATGTCCAATCCTCAGCATAGTGTTATTATGCCTTTCAGTCACAATTGCGAGTCATTGAAAAAAATGCCTTTAGATCAGATGTTTTTAATATTTCAAACTTCCAATTAAAATAAAACTTTTTACATGAAATCCTGACTATTATTAAATCAAATTGATCAAAATATTCCATAAAGCAATAGCGCCTTACACTACATCTTTGGTCGTCTCGTTTTGTTAAATCTTGTTTTATTAATTGAAAATAAAATCTATTTATTTAACCATATACATGTATGTAACGATAATAGAAACAATTATCTATTAGATTTTTTCCTATTTGTTCTAGAATTTGTGTACAAATTACTTAAAGTACGTGTTTCTATAAAAAACTTTAAATGGCGTTTTTTTGATTATTGTTTGTAGATAATGATATGAAGTGACAATAGTTCAACCAGGAAAAATTCATGTAAACACGGGCATAGCAGATTTGTATTATCGAGTAGGAAAAGGTGTACTCGGTGATAACGATAAATATAGACTAAGCACCCCAATAATTTATTTGGTGCTTGAAACAATACGAATAAACTTGCTTTCAACATAAAACTGTTTTGTTTGGTTAAAAGTTTAATCGCCATAACAAACTTTGTTTTGCATGTTCTACCTCATGAAGAAATTTCTAAAGTTAGATTGATTGCACTGCACGGCATGATTGTGGTGCAGAAATTTTTTATTTTTATAAAATAACCCCATATAAATTCATAATAATCCACGTAAAAAAAAATCATATAAACAGATCATATACAGTATTTATACTTAAAATGGTGTATTTTTAGGGGATAGAAAATGATAATAATATCGATATTTACAAAATTTGAGTGAATCGTGACTAATTCCAATTTAACTAGGATAAAAATGGTTAATTTTCTACTGATTTTGATTGAACTGATCTTGTAAGTTTGGTTAATTTGTTTTCTAAATCCACAACACGTTGAGTTAAAGCTTCAATTCTACCCATACACTCATCACATGGGTTTGATAAAAACGAAGGACTAGTTAAATTAATCGAACCCTCACCCGATACGTAGTATGGCGTATTATGAGACTCAACTTGTGATGGTAATATTCCTACAGGTTGTACACTAGTTTGAGGATTGTAATAAATGTTTGGTAATTTTTGAGGTAATGTTGAACCGGCAAAAGGATTTAAATATGATGATGATGATGATGTAGTGTTTCTGGTTGGAAAACTGGAATGATCAAAAATTTCGTTGATCGTCAATTCGTTTCCATCTTTTGGAGTTGAAATAGATGAAGATAAGCTGTCAATTTTGGGCGAATTCGACGATTTTGAACTAAGGGCAGGACTATTATAAGGTATAGAAAGAGAACTTTCTTGAACACTTTTCAACTTAGTTTTTTGTTCGTGAGCTTGCAATTTCTGGTCAATACACAATTGTTTATAGAAATTTCTCGCCTCTAGTGCTATTTTCTGGTATTCCTCACGAACATAGTCCGGTTCTTTTAACCAAAACTCCTTTGAAATCGCTGAAAGTTGAGGTTGAGTGACTACCGGATGATTTAAAGCCTGCAATGCTTTGCAAAAGCACATTCTATAAGCTATAAAAGCGTTGGGGATTCGGGAGGTTTTGCCTGAAACTTTTAATTTTAAAATAGCTTTTTCAATTAGATTATATGAAGTGACATCAGGCGGAAATGGTATTGTAATATTAAGAGAATCTACACTTTTTTTAACTGTGGAATTTACTTTCATTTTGTCGATGTTTATTTTTTTCGTTATAGTATTGTTGGGAAATTTCGAAAGGTATTAATGAAAAACCTTCGCTCCAAATTCTAAACAAGAAAATATCTATTTATAAGAATTCATGTTCAATATTGACTACTTAATACACCAATGGTATTCATTAACTAATTATGGTGTTCAAGGAAAACTTGATTTAAAAAATGGGATCGTATTTTTGACAAAGATAGGGACCCTATTCTCTTACTACGTATATGTTTATTATAAGATATTTTATATTATGTACAGAGTGGCTTGATGTCACTCTTAATATTTAGAACAAACTTCATTGTCCGTTTAATCCGTTTAATCAAGTATTACGATTACACAATTTCAATTGAATTTTGGGTTATATGACATTGTAATTACTCTTATATTTTTTTAAAGTAAAGATTAATTGGAATATATGTTATAAAAGAGGACTAAATTAACTCAAAAAAGTATAAATATATATATATATATACATATATATATTTATATATATGTATGTATATATATATGTGTATGTGTATATATATACACACACACATATATATATATACTGGTTATTCATAACAATATATAGGGAATCAAACATGGAACAGTTCTAAAATATTAAACCAAATTCATCACTAACATTACATTTTCGGTCACAATTGTGGACAAATACGTTTTAGCGCACTTTCGCGTATTTCCGCGTGCGTCAAACATTTCTTATTTCCCGTATTTATATCTTTCTTATGTAATTGGTTCAAGCTTGATAAAAGGAATATCCTTGCGAGATGATAATTGGTTCAAGTTTGATAAAAGGAATATTCTTTCGAGATGATATAACGTTCCCATTTCGATTCTCAATCTTTCGGTTAAAGTTTCAAGCTTGTTAAAGCTTTAATAATAATGCATGAGATGCATATTCTTTGTTATGCCAAGCTTAAAGACCTTTCATGCTTCAAGATGAAGAATTTTTTCTAAAAATAAACATTCACGCGTGTTTTTTACGTAAATAGTACGTGCATATAGAAAATAAAGTGCTTCCGGTCCGCAGAAACTAAAGTTTCCTTGGCTTCTGTTCATAAAGAAAAATTATGATATAACGCCAATAAGTGGCGCAAAAGTTTATGCAGACCTCTTTTTGTAAGATATAAATATCTTCTTCTTTAAAGACGAAACCAAGATATATATATTCTTTTACTTTAAATTAAATGAATTTTGATTAGGTAATAAAAATTTATATTGTATTAATTCTTATAGTTAAAACTATGTAAATATAAGCGAATCCATCTTAAGTCGTAATAAATTTTTTATGAGATTAATGTTGATGTCACAATTTAAGGCTTAAACTTTAATTTGGAACTAAGTGTTTTTTAGTACAACCAATATGCTAAGTGAACAATTCAAGATTCACAATGTAATGCTTACTAAATGAATCCTTTTAATGTTAAATCAAGTAGCTAGGTTTTACAGGGGATAATTTATTTAGTGCTATATAATCTGAGCTTTGAATTCTAGAATTGTTGTTTTTTTCTATCAATTTTAGTGTAATACATTCTTTAACAAGCCTTTTGGTGTTAGCGTGAAATGCTAATGAAATAAATTATATTTGAGATATTGAGCATAACAAACTACGTATGATCAATATGATGCAATTTTCGCATCATTTTGTATGATCAACATCACAATTGTGTCCAAATATATCATGGCGTATAACATATGTTACAATTGAGGTACATGTTACATTCATAAAAATTCCTTATTTTCTATGTCTCATTTTGTGTTACTTGATTCAATATGTAAGGGATTAGTCTATGCTTTTAAAGTTTTAAGTAATTTTTTTAAAGAATCTTGCGGATACACATGCTTTGTTATGATACTTATCCAAGTTCAAAAGGTCTTTTAGACTTCAATGTGAATGCTAAAAATAAATTCACACGTTATCTTGTGCGCCTACAATACATTACTGGGATAACAAATAACATAGTAAGAATTGAATTAAATCGCCGTATTTCACCGTATAAAATATTCTCTTCTGTAGAAAATTCAAACCTTAATTTCCAGCTATTTGGCGAAAAAATGATGCACGATACAATCTCTTCAAAAAATCTTGTTACAGTGTGCAGTAAATAAATTGCTGATGTACTAATGATATTTTTTTGTACACAAAAACGGGATCTGGCCCTAATTGATCCAAAGCCAAGAAAAACTATTGTTTTAGTAGCGAAACAAAGTTTCTTCTAAGAATAACACACTTTCTCCTTATTTCTTCTAAGATAACACACTTTCTCCTTAGTTTCGGCTCATAAAAACAATGAAGATGAAGTACAGATGGATTATAGGTTGATATCAAGAAGAGATACGAGAATTGATTTAGGTTAGCAATCTAAATGTATATTATACTAATTCTATAGTTAAAACTATATCACAGTGAAAAATATAACCTAATTCATCTAAAAAGTCATATTTTTTTATTTGAGATTAATGTCGATCTTAATATTAACAAATAATTTAGGCTATATTAAACTTGAATTTGAGACGAATTGTTTTAGTATAACAATAAACTTCAAGTTTCACAATGAAATTACTTCAAAACTTCTTACTACAGTCACCCCTCCATATAGTCGCTCCCTTTATAATCACTCCCTCTTTTTAATCACACTTTTCTCAATTACAACCATTATGAGGCATAGGAAATTAACCTTCGTATACTCACAACTTCATACCTTTTTCTGGTCCTGAGATGTAACATTAGCCTTGATTATATAGTAAACGAACTAAATCGCAAATTACATGCATATAACTTGTTTTTCTATGGTGCAGTACTCTTAAATTGACAAGTTTCAGTTTATCTATCAACTATAGAAAAGAACTTTTAGGCTTACTTCATAGTTAAGAAAATGAAACATATTGTCGATTTAAAATTTGAGTTCTGTTATATGTGATCGTCGTTATACATACCAATGTACGTGTACTAGTACATGTATTTTTAAAAATTCATGTATGTATGTACATGTATATGTATGACATAAGTCAAAATTTCTTATTTCTGTCTTTGCTTGTGTTACGTAATTGGTCTAATTGATCTAATTGATCTAATTACAAAATCAATGAAAGGAGCCTTTCAATTATTCCTCAATTGTCAATTGGATATCGATTTTATTTTTATTAAAACGTAAAATCATGTCTCATTATTGTTCTAATTGTATATAAGTACAAATAATGTGATAAATTTTCGCCATCTTCTAAACTATTACGTAGATAATCATATATGTCATGAATTTGATAATCTTAAATACGGAGTAAATACAAAATTTAATCCGATTGAATAATCAAAAAAGGACTATCTTATAGTAAGCCTCGTATGATATGTTGGATTAAACGTTGGTTTGTCGAATTAGCAAGCATAATCGACTTGCCATACATGTAAAGCGAATTCATTAACCAAATGTGGACATAATAAAAGCTCTTTTGTTTCAATATTTTTTCTCGATTGAAGTTCAAAGTAATTTTTTGAATTACATTTTTTCTATGATAATCACCCAAGCTTAGACTCAAATATGAATACTTTAAGTATGCAAATTTTTTCTAAAAATAAATTTCACACGCTCTTTACATAAACAGTATGCACCAGTAGATAAAATGTAAACTTTACTAAATATATTTCCCAATTATTTTTCTTGTCCACAAAACGGGACCTTGCCATAATTGATCCAACAAAAAGCTAAACACATAATTGTCAGTAGCGAAGCAAAGTTTCTTCTAAAAGAATAAACTTTCTCCTTGGTTTCAGCTCATAAATACAATGATAATATAGTGCAGATTGATTATAGGGTTGATATGCTGAAAGAACCAAGAAGGGCTGCAAAAATGAAAGCTTACGCAACCCTCTTTCTATAAGATGTATTTTGGCTTAATTGTATATAAAAACAATTAATCCAAGTAATTATATTGTTTTGAATTATATAAATTTATATTGTAGTAATTTCTATAGTAAACTAAAAAATATCAGCGAATAATTTAACTACAGTATAGGCTGTATTAAGTACTCTCCCCTATAGAAAAATTCTTTAGTATAATCAACGTAAAATGAACAACTCAAAATTCACGATGCAATTTCTTTCAAAAGTTCTTATTACTAAATTAATGGCTTTAAAATAGTGCCCCGGCTCGGGTCGGATTCAGCCTAAACCCAGGCAGGTTCACTATTGAGCCGAATCGACTCAGTCAGGTTGGATATTGAGCCGAATCAACTTAGATAGGGTTTGATCTGTGGGCAGTGTTGTCGTTTGACGTAAATCCAGCAATTTGATTGGTCGGGACGCTTGTCCCAACAATCAAATTGCTGGATTTACGTGTCACTCAGCGATTCTCATTTGATTATTTTTAATAAAAGAGAAAAGAATATCGGAAAGTATTTCAAACTCTAGCAAAACTTAAAATAAAATCGTGCAATAACCATCAATTTATCAAAATGATCATACGGACTGCCTGTTGATGTGTCACCAATCGGTTGGTTATCATCCCCATTTTCTTTTTCATTATTAAACTTTCTACGCTTTGAGTTATGAGGTGATTCCCTCTCGTTACTAGTCGTTAAGTGTCTCAGAAAAAATCAGCAAATTAATCTTCGGATCATTCAGATGTGACATAACCCGGAATTTAATGACCCATCTGGATCAACACGACCCGAGATTCAATGACCCAACCCGGATTCATTCAGTCAGTCCGGACCCGTCCAGAGCATTACTTTTAGTTTAAATTAGATGACAAAGTTTTTGTATGAGAAATTGATTTGGATAGTAGTTGTGCTTTAAATTCTATAGTAATGAGAAAATAGAATCGAAGATACACATAACTTTTTGATCTTTTTCTGACGTACAGTCCGCATGGAAAGTGTGACAGATAGTTTTTTTAAAATAAAAAAATTTTAAGTAATAATTATATATAAAATTTATTTCCAGGATGCATATAAGCAAGGCTTTATGCATATATAATATCAGTATTTAATATGCCCTCTCTTTGCATCAATGCAGATTGAATGCAATTTAGCATAAGAGTGATGCCTCTAAAAATTACTTCAAAAATATATTTTCACTTCTCTTTCATTAATACAACAAAAAACCTTCTATAACATGTTCTATTTTTCTGTTATTATCACTTTAGTCTCTTTTTCACATTCCCACTTGAAAATGACTATATATTATTTATGATATTGAAATCCAGATTGTATAAAAACTATAGAAAAATGTATATTGCATATTACAAGCAAGCTTAATAACATATATATAATTCTAATATAAAACAAAAAATTTTTAAAGATTTTTCAATTATTAAAGTTTGTTTTCAAATATAAAGATTGGCATTTTTAATAAATTAGTTACTGTAATTTTGATTAAAATGTGTTATATTGCTTTTTTTAACAGTTCATTAACAGTTCAATTCTTTATTTCCATAATAAGTCATTTTTATCACTTTATTTGGTCTTACTTATTATTATTATTATTTAATAAATAGTAAATAGCTTTACAGATTCTTTATTATTGATTGTAATGAAATAAAAATAGTAAAAAATATATTCGAAAATATTTAAGAATAATATAAAAATCCCAGGTTGTAATAATATTGGAAGAAAGTTTTCTTGGAAAATTAAGATATCTTATATAATTTATATAAGTTAATTTATAAAATATACTGTTAATTCTTAAAAACTAATTAAACCTTTATTAATCTCAACCGGAATTTGGAGGCGGAATTTAGGCAAATTGCAATCAACCACTAAGATCAAATAATATTGTCTTTAGACCCCTTGCACTGAATACACCCTTACAATAATTGAAATTTTTTCACTATATTGAAAGCTTCAATTTATGTATATTAAAATAAAGATTATAAGCTAGATTTTAACATATACTTTTGCTATATTTAATGTGAAACTAATTTACTAATAAAGAATTTTTATAGAAATTTAGTTATAGAAATTTTTTGCAATGACTTTACAAGTAGTAAAATACTTTCGAATTAAATTTTAAAAAAATAGCTTAAATTCTAGCTTATTATTTTTATTTTAATATAAAATAAATTAAAAATTTCCATATAGAGAAAATTTCACATTGATACAGCCCCCTATAATAAATTACCGGGATAACAAATAAAAATAGTAAAATCGAAATAAATCACTGTATTTCACCCATAAATATCCTCACGTGTAGAAAATCTAAACCTTAATTTCCAGTTATTTGTCTGCAAAATGATGCACGGTGCAATTTTTTCAAAAAAATTTGTTACTAATTAATAGCTTTGAGTTAAATTTAGGTTTATACAGTGGGGGGGGGGGTACTTTATGCAGTGAAATACGGTATATTTGTGATATTAAGTACAACAATTAATTAGACATTTACCATTAATTTAAATGAACAATAAGTACAATAATATTGCGCTTACTTCATAAGCTAAGAAATGTTGTATACTGTAGTCTTTTTTGGATTATCAATTAAGAAATGCTCTCACAAAGAAATATCTGTGAGATTATTCAAAAAGTTTATTTTACAGAGCATATTAATTTTAAAGTTATAAAAAATCTGCGCTTCAATGACCTTAGTGATAAAACAACTAACTTTATTTGATACAGAATTAATTGATTGTTGGACAAATAAAGACCGCTGATCTAACTTATTTTTATTCAAACGAATAACGATAAAATTTTTGTTTATTTTAAAATAATATTGATATTACCACAAGAAAGTTAGCATTAGATTCTTATACATGTCTATATTTTACATACTATAACGTTCGTTACATTTTATGTGCATATTGGTTTTGAGTTAGTTTTAAGCCTACGAGTTCCCCTATCAAGAACGAGACTTTTTCTTCTAAGTCATTGACTTTGTTTTCCAATTTCGTAATTTTTTCTTTACAGCAATCGCATTGTTCATGTTTTCTCGCGTTGCTTTCTTTTTGACTCGAATTTTGGCTAAAGTCATAACTATCATCTGAGCCCATTAGAGAATTCGTAAGTTGATCTATATAAACAGATTTGCAAAAGGTTACTTTTTGTTTGTCAATATCAATTATTGGATGTAAAGAGAATATACTTGCAATTTCCATATTCTAGAAAACTTGGGATTAATTCGATTTCAGCAGCAGGAGATGATGACTGAGAATCTGATACTTCTATGTCTCCAAAAGTATCAGTTGCTACATTGGAATCGAATAGAAATAAATTGTTGTTTCTAAAATCCAGAACGTTTGTGAAATCAAATTCATATGAATTCTGGTTCATACTTTGGTTTAAATTCTGGTTCATACTTTGGTTTAAATTCTGGTTCATGATTTGGTTTAAATTCTGGTTCATACTTTGATTTAAATTCTGGTTCATACTCTGGTTTGTATTTTGGTTCATATTCTGGTTCATATTCGAATTATCATTTTTGGAAAAATCCAAAATATAGGAAGTGCGTTCTTCAAATAATCTTTTCTCTGCGAGGTGTGGTTTTAAATGACTTTGAATTATTTGCTTGTAAAGATCTCTTGCTTCCGCCGAAATTTCTTGGTATGCATGGCGGACGTGTTCTGGTTCATTTACCCAAGATTCTTTAACAAGCGTTGAAAGTTGAGTTTGAGAAAGTACTTGATCATTAGATAAACGAAGTTCTTTACAAATCGCCATACGATACGCAATAAATGCATTGGGAGTTCGTGAAGTCTGTCCGGACGTTTTGAGTTTTAAAATTGCTTTCTCGATTAGATCATTTGCGGTAATTTGGGGAGGAAATTTTGGGATACCACGTGTAAATTCTGATTGAACGTTATTTCTTTCGATTAAATTTGTATTTTCCATTTTATTTAACTTAATTGAGCTTGAGGGCCTTGCAGGTCGTATAATAAAATCTTTTATATTGATCAAAACTTTTAAGATTTCAAGGCAAAGCAATCCAGACAATCTTCTGTGGTTTTTATAATTTTTTAAATGTCTTTCGGAGCTCGCATCAGTATTCTGTATCAAATAATTATTTTCTATCAAATTGAAATAAAATTTCTTACGCTATATGTAAACTTTTGAATAGATGCATGTTATGTATGACATACTGGTATTTATGCAAAATTTCGAATCCGATGCAGGTAGGACAAATGCCACAGTTTCATTCAGAATGAAAAATCTATGAAAAGCAAATCTGTTATCGTTACGACACGAATAGTTGTGGCGTTGATTAAAAAGCTAACTTAAAGTTACCTTGCATCTTCAATCCTTTTTTTAGTTGCCATTGTTATTACTATATATATGTAATGCGAACTAACCGTTTCAATTTAATGTTTCTTTAATGCTTTTTTTAGTAGCTATGGGTTCTTTACGGATTCAATAATTTCCGACTTTAATGAACTCGAACCCTTACGTCCGTCATTGACTCATAAGCGAACAAAAAAATGCGTTTTTTCCGCAAAAATGACTCACCCATCAACCACAAAACTATTGCTGTGGCTAGTGTGTGCGGCTTGCTAAATAAATGATTGGCATATATTCACGTCACACTAAACTTTAGATCATTCCGCGCAGTTCATCAACTACATGTATTCTTTTAGTTATTGTGATCTTCTTTTTATTGAATAAAACATCGTCATTTTCGCTTGATGCATAGACGAGAAAACCGACGAGAGAAATCTTATAGTATGTGAGGTTAGACAATAAGTAAGCAATTTGATAGAAATGGATTATTTTTTCATTCGGAATTTGATTTCCATGACTTTTGACAGCATGGATAATTCAATTCAATTCAACTCAACCAATAGTACGAACTAATTTATATGTAAAACGTTAGACAAGTTAATCTGATATGTTCATCATTACCATTATCGTTATTATCGTTATAACCATGCTACGTATATAAAAAGAAGTTATTAATAATCACAACTGTGATTCAAGCTCTCGTATTGATATAATAGATCCAAATGCCATGGGAAATAATCTTTCAATTAGTTCTATTGAATTTGTACATATAAAAAATCCGAATCGATTTATTATTTAACAAATGTTTAAGACTTGGAATTAAAAATGAAATTTACGTAGAGTTCGGACTCGTTGTCTAGAAACCAAACAACATTACTGTTAATGATGCGTTGCGTTTTTCATTTTGTGATACTTTTTAAAAAGGGTTTTTAAACCTTAACGTTAACTCGAAATCATTACATGATGCACTATTTATTACTGATCGTGATCAGATCCCCTCGCTGATAATACTTTCTTTGTAATTGTAACGGAGATCGTGACCCTTTCATTGAATATGTCAGAGACAACTTATTTTCCCGAGATTTATTGTTAACATTTTTTGTCCGCAACAAAAACATAGATAATTCGCAGTAGCAACAGCTATCAATATAGAGTAAAAGAGGTTGACATTTACAATCGAACCTCTTATCAGTATAACTGGATTTTTGCTTCACACATAAGACAAATAAAATCCGTTGTAATGTTGCTGGTAATATAATGTGGCTAATAAGTTCGATATATCGGATTCTTCTCCGTGTCCCAGCCACTTCGTTGATCATAATAGGTCGACTATAATAGGCTTTACCGATTTTTTCTTTTAACACTTAAAAATTACCAATTTAATATAAGAAGACAATTATATTATCAATTCTTAATTAATTTTATAATATTAAAATATCAAGAACAAAAATCATTTGTATTCGAACATTGAATATCTAAAAATATTCGTTTGGGACTGTTTAATTTATTACAATTAAAAGGAACGAATTAGTTTGGAACAGTTAACTTTTTACAGTCAAAAGGAAAAGTAATTATTAAAATAAGCTTGCCGATTTTAAGCATTCCTTACCATAATTGGTTGTATATAATGCTAAACTTTATTTTTGATGCTGTATTTCTGTCATCAGTGTTGGGTAAAATTGCACCATTGGTCCACTGGGCTTAAGTCCAGTTGAACCGGTACCCAAAGTCCAGCCCAACAACACTGACCGACTGGTATCACTAAACGATAATGATTTGCAGGTTGTGTATCGTAACGGTAAGGGGCCAAACTATATCAATAATTCTTTTTTTCACAATCTTGTGCGACGGTAGAAGTTGTTAAGCTTGCGCCATACATCGAAGTTTTTGAAAGTGTAGAACAACACATTGAATCCTTTGTTGTTTTACACTTTAATCTGTAGAACAACATGATATGCATTAAACAACAATACAGTTGATATAAGTATTAATCAATGTGTTGCTCTATACTTGTAGTATTGTTTTACTAATTGAAATGTAGAACAACAAAGGGTTTGTAGAAGAACTCATTTTAATGTGTTGTTCTATACTTTCAAAAACTTCCTGATGACTAGTCAACCAAACAAAAACTGCAAATGCTTATTTAAAGTATAGAATGAATTAGGCAGTTGACCTATGCAAATTATGACGGAACTCTCCCCATTACAATAGTTACACCTACCAACATCATATTCATCAACAGAACCAGAAATTTTCTCTTTCTTGGACAACAATTTACTCAATCCTCAAATGTCTCAGAAACTTTATTTTCTCGTAATCCAGCTTTTAGCTCAAGAATTATCTGTAATTATAAATCAAAAGTCATACGAATTTGTTGTTGACGCTCACAAAAATAATACCCTGGTCGAAAGATTGGTTTTATCTGAGCAACATCGAGGAGAAATAATAGTATAAATGATAAAATTGCATTTTCCACTATTAATTTAACCTTGATATTTATCAAGTAAAAATGATACTTTTCGACCAGTGATATTGATTATAAACCTATCTTGAAAATGCTCGAGACGAATTTCTTCACCGCACATATATAGTTATGACGTATAGTGACTCACACAAGAAATGGAATGCTCGATGAGAATTTTTATCTCGGTCGATATTAAATAATCCAAATGAAAATAAACAAGTATTCTCAAAACCGCTAGTATTTTTAAAAAATAATTTGACAACAGATTATTTGTGAAATTGAGTGATTTTAAGTCGAATTTATCAATTAGTAAACTCGACCGCCATAACCGAATTTGGACCACTAATTACAAAGTCGTCTTAAAATTTATCGAGGTTTAAGATCCCGAAGGTACAAGTCTCTGCTAGGAGCATTAATTCGAATATCTTAAACCTCGATAAATTTTAAGACAACTTTGTAATTAGTGGTCCAAATTCAGTTATGGCGGTCGAAATTTACTAATTGAGAAATCACTCAATTACACCAATAATCTGTTGTTGTCAATTATTTTTAAAAATACTAGCGGTTTTGAGAATACTTGTTTATTTTATTTGGATTATTTAATATCGACCGAGATAAAAATTCTCATTGAGCATTCCATTTCTTGTGGGAGTCACTATAATTCATATTATCATTATTATTTAATCATTACAAACCGAAATTAACGATAAAAATTAATAGTTATTATTTATGTTGGTTGATACTTTACGTTTAGTAACATTAACATTGGATACTTTATTGGTAGTAAATTGATGTTGCATGTGTGATTATTTTCTCACTAGCCAACAGTTCAAAACGATAGATTTTAAGCATCATTGATAGTAGAGTTAACGCTTCAATTGTTGTCAAAATATGTATATGGTCAAACACGACAATTGATAAAATAAGCAACGACTATAATCGTCGTATTCGTGGTCCAGCATTGAAGTGATAAACGAACTTTGCTTGATAAATTCACGAATCGTTCTGGTTTAAATTCATCAATGTCTTACGCCAGACACTCTCGTCTCTGCCTATTGCATGTGGAACCTATCACCAACCAGCGCTTCACCGACAACCCACGACCCATTTCTTGAACATGACATGACATTTCACCGACGCCATTTCAACAACAAACAATTTCATCAACGATCCATTTCATGGATACGACAGTTTACCGACACTAACACCATTTCATTGACCATAACGATAAGGGGGGTACAATCAAAGTCCTTTACAACAGCGCTGTATACATCGGGTTCGGCTTATACCGCGTTGATATCCCGATTTTTGCGATTTAACTATTTATAAATTTCTATATACCGAAGATTATAATATAAGCACTATACCGACCCAAATGTACCAATCTAGTGCGGCTGTTGTAAAAGACTTTGACTGAATAGCATAAACTGTATCTTGTTTGTTGTACTGAACCTTTAAGATAACCTATATTCCGAACCCATACCCTGAGGAAACTACTATCCTGCACTGCACTATTTGTTCATTGTATTGTACTGTATTGGAAAATGGGTTCTGATATAGATTATCTTAAAGATTTATGAGGAAACTATTACGTATCCTGTTTTATACTATTTCATTCATTGTACTGTACTGTATTGGAAAAGGGCTAGGGTATGGGTTCGTAATATATGAGAACTTAAAGATTTATCAGTACGATAAACAAGGCGGTTTATGCTATACCTTAACCCTTGAACGAATTTCCTCATTAATTTTGCGTTTCACGATAAGTCGATCAATTTTCTGGTTACATGTATCGGTATTTAGTTATAAATTTCCCTATGATGGAAATAGATTGTCGATGATACGTTCTCGGTGATTTGACGTCGACGAAACAATAATGGGAGTCGGTGAAACAGGTACATCCCTTTACTGAGACGCCTCTAGCCGTGGTATACGCTAAAATATTTTCATTTAAAGTAGCATACTTGGATATAATCTCAACGTTTCATTCCATGTTGCATAGGCGTCATAGTTGGGAACCGGATTCTCAGGCGTATCAGGTGTAATGAGCGAGTCAAATTCTTTTAATAAATTTTTCTCGACTGAAGGATCTGTCATTATTCGAAGCATAAAACACAAAATTAGATTACTTACAATTGCTGTAGAATCGGGATGCACTTGATTCTCCGAAACCCATTACCGCGACAGTAAATTTACCCGACCTCATTTATCCGATAACCCCTCCCATTTCTCCGAATGGAGATTTACCCGACATGACGTTTAACCGACGGGTACCCTTATGTCAGGCAAAAAACGGGGCATTCCGGTATTTGAAGAACTAATAGGAGTGCATAAATTTTCAAAACAAGAAAATAAAAAATGTGAAAAACACAGGAAGGTAATGCTCAGATTTAACTTGATACACTAATAAAAATGTCGGTGAGGTAATTTTATATTTAAGTTTGTCCTCCACTCTAACCCCAATCTTATAGTGTTAAAATATAGTATTTCCGGATCGGAGGTAGTTCGAAGGCCGTTTGGAGGGCGTTTTTGCTTGACATAAGGGTATTCTTAACCGACCCCTGATTATCGTTACTTTTTTTGTGGTACACCTTGATCGTAATGTTATTAATTAGAGTTATGTTATAGTTTTCGTTAAGGTTATGGTTAGGCAGCAAACAGGGCACGACTATAGTAAAATTTCGCAAGAAACATTTTTTGTTAGAACACAAATGGTTGTTTTATAAACAAAAGTTTGAGATACAAGTTATTTTTCGTCAGGAGTCGGATTTTTCCGGCAGTGGAAAATGGGGTGGGTCGCTGTTGAAGTTCCATTTCCCCAACGTGATGGGATATTGCCTCCCCAACACTTTGTTTAGGGGCAGTGACAAATATTCTGGGGGATGGCCAAATATTAGGTGTTAATACACACCCCTACAATATATTACCGGAAATTTCAAGAATGAATTTGTCACTTTGGAGCTCGATATCTCGACATTCGATGACCCCATTCGAACAAAAATATCACCATTAGATTCGTCTCGACTATACGAATCTAATGGTGATATTTTTTGTTCGAATGAGGTCATCGAATGTCGAGATATCGAGCTCCAAAGTGACAAATTCATTCTTGAAATTTCCGGTACTATATTGAAATCTCAGGGGTCCCTAAAATAAATTATTAGCTAATATTTGTCACTCCCTTAATGAACCAAGCTATATTTATCAGGAAAATTAATGATACCTGAAACCCATGACGATAGTCGATACGACGAAACATGTGACGATTTACAAAACCTTCTGACCAATCAAAATAATAGCTTAAATCAGATGTACAAATTTTAAAAGGAATGTTACGTCATTAGAAATCTAGTAGAACACTGTCTATAGTAAAAACTTTGTCATTTAATCGAACCTCAAAGCAAATAATTTAATGATAAGCGTTTTTAAAAAGTTACACTGGGACTCTTGGTTTATATATTTTTGAAGAAAAAATAATTGTTTTATTTAAAAATTGGGATTAAATTAAATGGCAAAGTTTTTACGGGGGGATACTATAGGCAGTGCTCTACGATACATGCATTTGATTGGCCGAAGGCCATGGACGATCAAAAATATGCTGAATTTTGGCCAGTATTATGAAAACTTGAGAAGAGTGTATACAGTCAACCCTCTCTATTGTTATTGTTATTGTCAGCATGACGGGACCAGGCATTTTTGTTGATATATAAGAGTGTTGACAACTCAGAGGTTAGAGTTAGTATCAAAATATTAGTCCAAGTGAAATTTGTTCTGCAATAATAAAGAGGTATTGATATTAAAGAGATTGATAATAGAAAGGATTGACTAAAAATTTTAAATCTTGTAAAAATTATGCAAAAAAATAAACCGATAAATTGATAAAGCCTGACTTAACCTATCATTTTTGCCAAAATTGCTAAATTGTCATTCGTCACAGACATTTTCAAAATGATCGTGACGAAATGTTTAGTCATCGTCAGGTTAACAGTATGAAAAATCGTGTGGCGCGCTAATTGAATCCCATGGCGATTATACTTTATATTAGCGATCACGATAAATTATATGCTTTAAAAATTTTTGCTTTATTTTGTCTGTGACGAGTTAATATGGGTCAGTTATTTATGTATATTCTAATAGAATATATAAATTGAGTCTGCAATTTAATCTTTTCTGTGATTGTTATTGCTTACTTCGCGGAAGCGTCAAAAGTGAATCGAAAGAATATACTATGAAGATCTATATTTATACTTTCTCCCGTCTCGGCTGCTTTTGGTAAAATTCAAAGCGCAATTTTTGAGTTCTTCACCTCATGGCAAATTTGTGTACGAAAGTTTTTCCTTGAAAAATTTGATCTATAGCGATAGTTCTTCGTTGAGCATTGATTTAGTTTATCCATCAACATTATATAAGTTGATAACAATAAGGACCCTTTGGATAGTTCATATACAGTAGCCGTCATAAGTATCCGACCGCCCCTAATTTTTCATAGATCATATGTAATGTACCAAAATTTTTCACGTATAAAGAACATATATTTTAAAGGCCGGTATACTTTTATATTAGGGCATTATATGTTCGTCAAACTTTAATGCCATAATACAATGAAATAAATCACTTTGGATACAATATCTCGAATAAAACTATAATTTCATTTTAATTGGATCACTGGATATCGAGATATTGCATTCTAAAGTGATTGATTCGTTTTTGTTAATCAATTTTTTATTAGATAAAAAATGAATTGGCCACTTTAGGATGCGATATCTTGGTATTTAATAATCCGGTTTGAGCTAAAATATATCATTTGATTTGGTTGAGATGAATTGATTGGTATTATTTTGGCTCGAATCGGATTGAGATACTGCATCCTAAAGTGATCGATTTATTTCTGATAATCTCAAAAAAATTTAAAGATGCAATATCTCAACATTTAATTATTCGATTTGAACAAAAATGCTATCATTTGATTCGTCTCAACCCGACGAATTGAATGTTAGTATTTTGTTCAAATCGAATCACTGGATGCCAAGAATTGGATCACTAAATATTGTAGATACGTATCATGAATATTATGTCCAATTGATTTGTAACACAGGAGTTTGACAAACGTATAACATCTGATATAGAAGTTTACCAGCATATGATCTATGAAAAATTAGGGGCGGTCGGATACCTATGATGGCTACTGTAATTGTCTTCAACATGTGTTCTATCAGTTTCTGTATAGATTACAACAAATCGTCCTACATTCGGCAAAAGTCACCGGACATCTGTTACTCTAGCACTTGCATAAAATTTATATGTTCTTAAAACTTAGGTTTTCGAGATTTCATACTTTTAAGATGTCTAGAAATTTAGTAAATAAACAAGCGAACTTCAATTAAAAAATAGTCGCCTCTACATTTTCAATAAAACAACACGACCAACGATGTAAAGAACTGGATATCTCAAAATGCTCGAAACCAACAAATTTTCGGGAAATTTGCAAGAGGAATGAAAAGCAATTCCTATAAGATCAATTGAGAGTATGTCAGGCATGCATTGAAAATCAGGATACACGTATCTACAATATTAACTGTCAAATTAATACGTAGTGTCTTCTGCCGAGTGTATATGTGCTAATAAACGAATAATAATTTATTACTTGAATCTTAATATTAATATCATTAAAACATATTTCAATATATTTAAGTCATTCCAAGTAAACTGTCATTAGTCTTTCCGCTTCAAACAAAGCCAAAAAAGTAGGTTGCCGACGATTTGGCCCTTTAAGATCTGGTCTTGCTCTTGTTCCGATTGCTCTATTTGAATAATTGATTACCAAATACCGAATTAACAATAAACTAAAAAAAAATGCTGTATTTTGTAACAGTATAGACATATATCAAATGGATACATTGTGACTTCTTTTTGAGGTGAAAAGCATCCTTCTTTCATGCTTGAAGGAAATGAACTCATACAGCGACACCCAAATTTTAAAACTTTCAATTAAATCGTAAAATCAATATGTAACGCGAAAATTCAAAGCAAATTTCTGCCTATTAAACAGCCTTTTTTTGGCAAATAATCTTAACCCTAACCGAAATTCTAATTAATTGATTGGTCAATCTATCTTGTGATTTGATTGGACACTGCGGAATATTTTGAACTTTTGGGGCGTCGCTGTATAAGTTGTAAAACTTCTAGAAGCATCACAATCAAGCTGAATACTATATATTAAATGATAAAGTAAACAAGTATCTGAGTTTATTAACGTAGAGTTGAATGAAAGTCTACAGTAGATACAAAAAATAAAAACGCAAAACATGAAAATAAAATGGGAATTTGGCATACACAGTAAACGTTGTACGAACCGAACACGTAATCAACATTCAACACAATGACCTGCCTGTGTACCTTCAGAAATTTGCAATAAAGTAACATCTCAGAAGATTCTGTGATTTGAATCTTTCGCTATGTACATAGAAAATCCGAAAATATTGTTGTTAACGGTAGTCTTGATTGAATCTTTTTAAAAATATAAGTTTAAGATGTTCACTTCAAAAAAATCTGAATATCAAATTTACATCACAATGTAAAAATGAATCAAATAGTTTTTATTATACTGAATATAATTCACCTAACAATAAAGGAAACAAAGAGTGAATATCGCTATTCATGACAAATGTGACGACTGAATAATATATATTTAAATAGCATAATAAATGGAAAATATGCGCTGTAAAGGATGTTGGATTTCGTAAACCATTGTTTATACTGCGGAAAAAATAATCGTTGTCCAAAAGAGTTTGGTACCTCATTTTGATTAAAGTATCTAGGATTTTTATACTTTACAAAAAACTAAATTGTCATAAATACAATGACCTTTTTGCGTTCATTCAAAATCACATCATTTCCTATTGTTAATTAATAAGAAATTACGTGTTACCAAACCAGAAGTCCGAAATTATGTGCTCCATTATACTCGACATCTCGCAATTTCAGAAATTCGCGCCATGATCGGAATTTTTTTTTTATTACAAACATGAATTCTTCAGTGTTTAAATCTATCTGCGTTATCTCTATCTGCGGTATCTGCGGTGCGCAGATTGATAATTACGTAGTTTCGCAAATTTTCCGCAAGTTACACATGCTTTTTTAACCTGTGGAACATGTACGTACATTATTAATCAGTTGCAGACTGTTAAAAAATTGTAAATACTGTATATATACATGTACAAAGAATCGTTTGTCCGGAGAGCGTAGTGCATAATGATAATATGGAATTCGTAAATCATTTTTTCGCCGATCTCTTTGAAAATGAAGTTCTTTGGATCAAATACTCCCTTAATTGAAATTTTGTGAATAGAAATCATAGGTTGAAACCTTGTTTTCCTATATTGATCGCGATTTCTTACACAGAAAAGGCTAATTGCGTTTACCAAAGCAATTTTTTGATTACTTTTGTCTCAAAAAATGGATAAATAGATTTTTGATTACAGTTATTTGGGATAAATTGTTTCTATTAGTTCTCTAGTTTGCTTAAGTTTATTTAAAACTACATCGAAAAAGTTTTCCCCAAATCTTCCATAATCTAATTTGGATGCATTGAAAACGTGAGCCAAAAAGCTCCTTTACACGTCTTTTAAGTTGTATACATTAAACTTCAAAAAGATTGCTGGCGCATTTACCGATGTATTAATGCTAGAAGTAGTAAGAGGTAGGTTGAAATTTTTTGTATACAAATCACAAGATATAAGTTCAATGAGAAGGTTCTCACACTCGAGAATATAATACATGAACGTACAGTTTATCGATATGTATACCTGACCTATCATCTTAAACTACGCCAATCCATACTGTATATTGATACACAAAACTGCATAACGCCCATCAATTCAAATGCTTTAGCACTTATCGTTATCACGCATTGCTGATTTACGTTCTTTTAATTCCGTGCTTTGTTATCATTACATCAATATATAGTTATTATAATAAGCATCATCCTTTTTTCGATTAAGCAGCAAATAAACTAATTTTTTTACCAAAATATTAGATTTTCACGATGGTAATATTTATTGTGTACAATTTTTGAAAGACGTAATAATAACAATTTAAAGTTCTACAGGTTCATATTAAGCATAACTCTGTTGTCGTGCAAGGGGTCGTGCAAGGAGCAAATCAAATCAACTCGATGCTTCAAAGTGCCCGTGATATCGCCAACAATTATTTTCTTCCGGAATTTCAACTACCTTCCATTGTCATCATTGGAGAAACAGGCAAATTTCATTGTTGTTGGAGTAATTAATCTCAGTTACGATGAAAGAGAAGAGATTAATTGAATAATTTTTTAGGAGTTGGTAAAAGTACTCTTGGGAATATTGTACTTGGTTTGGATCCGGAGAATGGAAAATTTAAGACTTCGGATTCTGGTGTAAGTGTTTGTTGTATTTTTTTTCCTTGTGCACTTGATCGATTTAATTATTTTCTTTTCGATAGGATTCTGTTACTCAGAATTGTGAGTTCGCTCCAGTGACTATTGATGATTCTCAATATATTATTCTTGATACGCCTGGATTTATTGATTCAGCTATGCCAGATTCCAAAACATGGAAAAAACTTGGATCCGTGATCAATAAATGCGCTTATGGTATCAAAGCTGTACTTTTGGTGATGAGTAAGTGACTACTTTTAACATTAAATCGTCAGATGAATTTCGAGTATTTATTAATATTTTTTTTAAAAAAAAACATAGCTGCAGGAAGATATACTCAATCCCACCAAATAGTAGTCGAATCAGCAATCAACTTTCTAGGATACCAAAGTCTGAACCATATCATTGTCGTGTTCACCAAATGCTCAAAAAAGCAAATACAGGATCCGCAAGTATTGCTCGACGGTCTTTCCACCAAACAAAAAGAACTTCTTGAACGAGTTCACGATCGCTGGATTATCGTCCCGAACCCTGACTACTTTGAGTCAAATAGTCCAGAAACGATCGAGAATTTGACGAAATTGAGAAAACATATTGCTTCGATCGAAGACACTTACACTAAATCGATATTTCAGTCGGTACGAGATGCGCAGCAACAAAAATTGTTGCAACTCCAAGGTGAAATTGAAGCCTCGTTCCAGGCTTATGATCAAGAACGCCTTGTTGATGGTGACGACGTGGCGAAACAGCGTTTCCAAGAACGTATGGCGAAAATCCGAGCCGAGATGGATGAATCTGGTGCTATAAAGGCTACTCAGTTAGCAAAAAGTAATGCTTGCTTTAGTTTGGATACTATGGTTACACTTGAGAGCGGAAAAAGTGTGAGTTTGAATGAAGTGAAAGTTGGAGAACGTATTCTAAGCCATGTAAAAGACGGGCGACTTGAATATTCTGAAGTTTATATGATTGCTCATTACAATGCTGACGAGCCAACCGAATTTTTGCAGATCTCCTTTTCTAATGGAATAAATAAAGGTACGTAATTAGTGATCATCCCACGTTGTTATCTATTCTCCGAATTTAACAATATTATTAAATCAGGAAAATTAAACTTAACGCCAACTCATCACATTCGAATGGCCGATGGCTCGTTCCAATATGCAAACCGAATTCATTCCGAAAAATCAAATCTTTTGTCGATAATTGAAAATAAATTGGTGCCGACTGAGATCGTCTCGATCGAACACGTAAGAAAAATATTAATCCTTATAAACACTAGAATTTGTACTCACATTTTGCTTCTTCTAGGTCATCAAAAGAGGATACATTTGCGTTTTCACTCATAGTGGCACAATCATTGCCGACGGCATCCAATGCTCTTGCTATAGTAATTGTATTCCATACCAAAGTATTATTCATCTCGTGCTTTCCCCATTGCGTCTCTACTCGAAAATGGCTCGTATCCAGGGGGATGGTCAAAAGATGCACCCATATCTTCAGATATTAAAAACTGTTTATGATTTGGGTGGAATGAAATAGGAGTTTGCGCTTCAATTTTTATTCTCGACTTTTTTATTAGTTACATGTATTATTTTTCATATATCTATATCGATATTACGTAGTGTCTTTTTTTAATGTATATACTGAACTGTACACGCGCAATGATTAAAAAGCATGCATGAGATCTAAATTTAAAAAAACCGTCATGTTATTTTATCGAGTTTCATGTTCCAGATGATTTTCTAGTGAAACGAGCCACTTGGGAAGGCGAAGTAATTGCTCGCTTACTAAATATATCGATATGCGTAGCACAATTCAAATTTTATTTAAACTACAAAATTCGATGTTCTAAAACATCTACATATTTTATAATTGTCTGTATAAATAAAGAAATCTGAGTAAGGTCTAAAAATAATTTAGGTTTAGACTAAGGATTCTTGTTAGAATGTGATTAATAATGTCATTGATTTTATTTTATGTTTTAAAAAGCTATTTACAGGAAAAAGGTTTTAAGAATATATATTATATTATCATATATCATCGTTATAATCTAGTCTAGCTGAAATTAACTTTGTCAATGATTCAAGTTTTTTCTCTAATTCAACAACACGATTTTCTAGTACTCCTATTTTCTCTTTACAGTATTTATCATATTCGGTTGAAGAAACATTACTGTCACTTGCTATTGAAGATTCTACGTTATTAGTGTCATTATGATTGTTATTCTTAGCAGCAGTAGCAACAGTAGTAGTAGCAGTAATGGTACCACTATTACCATTGCTATTACTATTATCGAAAGTCGGAGCAGAAGGGAAATCTGATTGAATGGATAGAATAGAAGAAAATAGAGATTGAGAGGTCAATAGTTCCGGTGTCATATTATTAATGAAGTGAGTGTCCAAGTTGAAGTCCAAGGAAAAACAATTGTCATTTTCTGGAGAATCAATCTTGAATATGTTTTTAACATTTGGTGTAGGTGTAGTAGATGCGGAAATGGTTTCATATGAATCTGATCGTTGATCTTTTGTTACAGGTTGTTCTGATGGCAATAAAGATATTTCGTTACTATCAAAAAGATCAAAATTGGAGCCACTCAAGTTACTCGAATTCGAAAACACAAATTCTAATGCGCCCGAGTTATTTTGATATTCACTTGTAACAAAAAGTGGACTTCTTTCATGACAAATTTGGATATACAAATCCTTGGCTTCTTTTGCGATGCGTTGATATTCTCGTCGTACGCGTTCCCCTTCTTTGAGCCATGATTGTTTGACCAACGCTGAAAGTTGTGGTTGCGTTATCACTGGATGTTTGATCAAGTGAAGCTCCTTACAAAATGCCATGCGATAAGCGATAAACGCGTTGGGGATTCGAGATGTTTGTCCGCTGGTCTCGAGTTTCGCAATGGCTTTCTCAATGAGATTGATGGGTGTGATCTCTGGAGGGAAGCGAACTTTAATTTCTGGCATTATGTATCCTTTCTTACTTGGCGCGATTGATCTCATCTTTAAAGAAATTAATTTAACAGATAATTATTTGAGTTTTCGAACGAATTGGAATTGCAAAAAAATCAGAATGTGAGTGCTCGCTATTTATAAATTATTTTATGTATGTATTTGTATTTATATTTATGCATATTCTATTATTATAAAAGTTTAAACTTCTTGTGTAAAGCGAGACTTTATTTGCGTATTTCTAGTTTCATATTTTTTACTTCTCTCGGGCTATGGTTTCCAGAAACATGCATTTACTATGTTACATATATAGATAGACAGATATATGTATTGTATATGCATTAAACTGTTCCCATTGATCAAGCTACTCTCGTAGCGCGTAAAATAGCGGGATTTGCGAAGTAATAATAATCACAAATATTATTGTTGTCGTTGTTACTATAAATGTACGTGGAAATGACGCGGAACGTCCGACAGACATAAAAATTAAAATGTCGTGTCCCTTTTTATTTAATTTAATGGCGTTCCGTACATAGAAAACACGAGGAATTTTGGAAGATCTTAGATACAATAATAGGAGCATCTATTTTTAGTGAATTCAAATTCGTCGAAATTAAAGTTGCAAACAGATGATCGATAAGCTCGAGAGGTAAAACTGAAACTAAACTACCGTGTGAATCACGCAGTTTCGTTACATTAAACAATGGTGAGGGGTTTTTATGTCTTAAAAAGTAAGGTAAGAACATTTGAGTTGAATTCTAATTTTAGATTATCTATTAAGAAATTTTTTAGGGGTAGATTATCCGAGTTCTCTTCTATTTTTATACAAATTCTATTTTGAGATAAATGGTTGATTTATATTTTCATATCGATATTGTTATGATTCATATGAAAGTTCGAAAAAATCGTTAACGATATGTAATATCAAAATTCATGTATGTAGTGATCAATTAATACAATGTAGGACGAGAAACCGAATTCATGCAGATGCACACGTATTAGAGTTTTCCTTGGTCCTTATTATTGTCGCCTTGGCCTGCTACTAGCATTGAAGCTGGAACAAACAAAGACATAATGTAACGTTAGAACCTAACCAAATGGTTCACCGATCGTAAAGTTAGATTACCGCCATTTTCCTTTTTCTGCATGTCTAAAAATAAATCACTTAAACATGGGTCTATTCGATTATCTGATATGATCAATGGACAAAGGATACCGGTCTCTTATATAACACCTTTTCATGAAGCAATTGAAAGTAACAATAAATATTATACTACGATATGGTATGGCTATTTTTTCACGAAAAATTGATTACTCTGAAATTTCGAGGAAATTGTAAATAAATTGGATTTCAGAATTTCTTGGGCAATTACTCTTCTACATTCCAAAGTCAATACATACAGAGGGTGGCCACAAGTCACCGAACACTAAAATAAATAACTCAGTCAATAATGGTTTTTGTATAAAGTGATTATCAAAATGTTCGTCTCTATAAGACAAATCCAAATGCACTAAAATCATTACTAATTGCCAAAAAAATTATAGTTCAAAGATTATACATTGTTCGGCGACTTCTGACCACCCTTCGTACCTTATATTTTATATAACAAATTATCTGAAATTTGATATATATACGTATTATGCACTTAATATGGTGCAGGCACTTATGTTGTAAATTCTAACTTCTTAACTGGGAAGTAAAATACAAATTTATATCATTGGTTAAATTTTGTATTTTACTTCCTAATTAAGAAGTTGTTAGAGTTTATCGATTTAAGAGTTTTTTTTTCACCATTTAATCAGAAAAAGGAAAACCTTAAGTTCACATACCATAAAGGCAAAGACAATGGTAAGTCAAAAGCAAATCTGATAAGAATTTATGCGTTTATCATGTGTCAACATGTTATTTATGTATTTCTAAAACCTGTATACATGTACATAGAATGATACGTAAACAATTGTTTTGCCTAAAAATATTTTCGTATGATCATTAATGTCGCATTATATAAGAATTTGAGAAACACATGATGTGATTTTATTATTTGTTCGCCAAATATGGTATGTCTACTATAAATACCAAATAAAGTAATGAAGCAAAAAAAAAAGAAAACTACGTTAATAACATCCCAATTTAGCAAATATCAATCGGACTCAGTATTACGTCATCCATTAAAAAAGAGCTACATGGTGATAAATTATTTAACTCGAATTACACATTTTTAATGTCTGATACAAATTACTGTTTTATTATTAGTTTAAAGGTCCGAATGATCTCGAATATCATTTGTAATATGAAACATGCAAATTAATTTTGTCTTACAGAATTATGAGGTTCACGTCATAGGGTTTCAGAAGCATATGTGTTGCACTCTTTAGAAAAAAGCACCCCATTCTATTATTTACAAATCTGGATAAATTTCTTATTGATTTGTACGCGTTTTTACAACAAAGACGGCTAGTTCAATACATTTTGCATTTTCTATTTAGGCATCAACTTGCCCCAAATTCCGAAAGAATAAAAATATTTCTTCTTACTCTAAACCATTTGCCGTCCATTAAAATATTTCAAAACGGGATGTAGTGTGATAAAAAATTTTATGAGAAATCATAATTTGAAATGGCTATATATGTTCTTTGTACGTATTAATAGCATAGTCTGCGGAAAATCAGTAAAAAAAGTATAAAATCAGACTTTGTTTTTAAACAAAAGAAGCGCTTCTATCTATTTTTTCTTAAGCTATTAACAAAAGATTAAAGACAAGATTTATAAATAACACATAAAAAAAATGAACAAATCAATTGCACCAAGTAAGAAAGGTTATGTAATGCCAAACGTTATCCTACAATATCCACCCGAAATTACGCCAATGGAACTTATACAAAAGGCAATTTCAAAATTTAAGTCCAGCGGGAAAATTTCTCGAATTCCCAACTCTTTTATTACATATCGTATGGCGTTCTGCAAAGAACTTCACTTGATCAAGCATCCAGTCATCACACAACCACAACTCTCCGCATTAATCAGAGAGTCTTGGAAAAAAGAACCAGAACACATAAGAAGAGAATATCATCAGATTGCGAAAGAAGCTAAAGCGCTTTTTAATCAAATATGCATAGAACGTTTAAACGAAAATGAATACCAAGACAAAAATAACACTGTCCAACAATTTTTGACAAATGATTTCTACCAAGACGCATCTTTCAATCAATATTTACAATCGACGCCATTTTCTGCGCATTTTCTTAATGAAGATTATATAGATGGAATACGCGATTCTTTTCCGAAAAATGCGTTAATGCAATATTCTTCTAATTTTAGACCATTTTCTTTTAATTTAAATCCAATAAATGAAACTTCAATTTCATCTAATAGTTTTTCTACTTCTATAGAGCATTCAAACATCTATGGTGTTTCAAAAAATAGTAATACCAATAATCATTTGAAACAATGTGATTGTGGATGCCTTTCCTGTAAGGATAGAATAGAATATTTAGAAAATCGCGTTAGAGAATTGCAAGAAAGTCTAGAGAATTCTAAAATTTTTTTTACTAATAATAACACATAGCGATATAACGATTATATGCACCATATTAATCACCATATTATTCTACATCTATGAACGAGTCCGTTATTATGTTCTTTAAAATAAAAACTATATTAACGCAATATATAAAATAATGGGTTTCTTTTTATGGCGTAGTATCTATAAATTGTGTTCCACAGCACAGTATTTGTAGATTGCTTACATCAATATTAAAAAAGTCTAATACATGTTCGTACATGTACATGTATTTGTATAAACTCTAACCATTAGAAAAATTTGTGACTTTAATGTATTTATAATCAATCTACATATTTGTTGTGCTAAAAATAATAGCCAATTGAACAACATATCGGAATAAACGTCAAAGTACCAAAAATAAATATTGTGAATTTGTCTTAGTCCGCAATTACTGTGCAAAAATAAAATATTTATATTAACTTGACATTTGGCAACCAATCAACGCCATAGAAAGAAAAAATATTTTTAAGCAGAAACGTAACGATAAAAGGCGTCTTGTAATGTTATATGAATCAGGTCTATCCAGATACATCCATTTATGGTTATATCTCTCTGTAGCCGCCACTTAACTATAAACAAATATTGTTTATAGTTATTTGATAACAGTTACATATAATAGCCTAAGTGGCGGCTACGTATACGTATGGAGTATGCCGATCACTTCGGATAATCGAATGTTGTTTACAGAAGAAGAAACATCTTGCTACGTATCAAGCTTGTTGTCTATATCAAGGTTAAACTTGCATCGCACAAAATATATTACACTAAAGAGAATACGTATATAACTACAAATAATAGCAAATATTCTGAGTTTCCGTATTAAATAAACCAACAGAATAAACACTATCCCAGAATACCAAGTGCGAAAATCTTAGATATTGTGACAAATTAGACTATATTGGGCTATTTATTGTTCGGGTACAAATGACATAACAGATTAAAGTTGGTGAACGCCAAAACCAGATTTATTCCTTATTATGATTCAGCTTTTCTTTATAGATTGACCAAGTCATGTAAATCGAACCAGAATTTTGTATATACATGTATACTGTATATACCGATTACGAACATAGCTTGTGATCATATCGATATAGTTTAATGTTGTATAGATTAATGAGAAGATATATAGTACATAATTCAGGGTGATTATTTCTTTTTATAGTTAAGATAATTTTGAAGTGGATTACGTAATGTTTTTAGATTTATATTACAATTTTTCTCGAACAAAATTTCAAATTGCCTAATTTGAGTTTTACCCTTAATTTGGAAAGCGGGACAGTTCGTAGTGCTTGACTGACAATGAGTGATATTGTCAAACGAACATATAATGCATTGATTTTTTTGCTAGTGTTGCTGAAATAATTATTAGAAAAACTAACATCATGCAATAAATAAAACTAGTGCATGATCACATAAGATTGGTAACAAAAGAAAGAAGTTGGAAACACAGTTGTGTAACGTAACATAAGAAAGATTGGTAACATGATCGCATAACTGAACACAGCCATGTAACAAAAGAAGTTCCTCTTTACTTTTACATACATGTTGGAATTAAACCAAGCCCACCCAATAGTGATTTCGTGAACTGAATGGTTGCATTTTTTTTAGTGAGATGTGAGGCTTTTGGAATAAAATTATTGTTTAGAATAGTGAAAAAAATATTTATGAATGTTATAGAAAAGAATATTTTTATATTTATCTCTACAGACCTTAGTAGTTTTCTGTTCAAATACACAGAATGCTAAAAAAATCATTAGTTTGTGGAGGAAGAGATAGATGAAATAAAAATTATTGAATGATTATGATTATTTTAAGAATAAAAATCCATTTATTTTTGGTTGCTCATGATTTTCCAATGACTAGATATTCAAAGTCTTGATTTTTTTTAATAATTATTGTGAATAAAGATGATGCTTTAACTAATTACAGCTTGTGATAACCAATCAGAGAATTGTAACAGAATTGCAGCAACCAATTAGAGAATTGTGATGTAATTATAGTTAGTTGTGACTTCTATTACTAGTTGTAAGATATTCACTTAGAATAAAAGCACTCTAATTGTATCATTTTTTAGCACTATTTTGAACTTAGAATATATTTAAATATATGTAAAATATGAAATTTTTCTCATGTAATAAATAATGTTAACAAAATTCAAAATTTCCAGTTCAATCAAAAAAAGATACTTACAATTTATACATAAATGTAAAGCCAAATTCTCTTTTTATTAAAAGAATTAAATTTACTAACTTGTTAGCTAATAATACATCTGGTATAATTGCAACTTGTCAAGAACCAGCTTCAATCAGAGCATAGAGTAGTTCAATGTATATGTAAAAATAAAGAGAAGATCAGTTCCCAACTTCTTTCTTTTATTACTAATCTTTCTTTTGTTATGCAGTCATATTCAATTACATGATCATATTACCAATCTTTCTTTCATTATGTGATCATGTTTCTAATTTTTTTCTTTCATTACCAATCTTTCTTTTTGTTATATGACACATTCATGTTCTATTATATGATCACATTACCAACTTTTTTTGGTTATATTCCATTACATAATCATGTTAGCAATCTTTTTTTCGTGCTCTCAACTTCTTTTTTCATTACCAATCTTTCTTTTATTATGCAGTTGTGTTCCCAACTTCTTTCTTTTGTTACCAATCTTACGTGGTCATGCATTAGTTTCATTCATTGCATGATGTTAGTTTTTCTAATAATTTTTTCAGCAATACTAGCAAAAAAAACTAACACATTATAAGTTCGTTTGACAATATTACCCATTCCAGATCAAGCACTATGAACTGTCCCACTTTTCAAATTAAGATCGATTTGTGGCTTGTGGCTGATATCAGGGGTAAAACCCAAATTAGGAGAACCATTATAGCATAGTCTATCACGTGATATATTTTAAAATATTAAAAGGTAAGTTTAACGTTAGAATTAGGGTTAGAGTTGAGAAGAAAATTAAGGTTATATTTGAAATTGCCTTTCCGACATTTTTAATTAGTGCTCCAAGATTTAAGCACCTGTTTTCCGTATTTTTCATTTTTTGTCTTTGCTTCAAATTTGTTTTGCCGTGTTGATTAAAAATTTACACATCCTCATTGGTTTGTTTTTCGGACAGATTATCGGATATGCTACGCTTTAATTAATCCCCAAATTAGGCAATTTGAAATTTGGTTCGAGAAAAGTGGTCAAATTTAGTGTTTAAAGCTGACTAGGATGCGCCGGCGCCTAGTCGGCTAGCTGATTCAGTCGAGCCAATTTCTTCGATGCAGCGCAAGTCGATCTCTGAAAAATTTCTAAATTAGTAAACTTATCGTTTTCATTATAAAAAGCTATTTATGATTCAAATTAACGTGTTATAATTTAATTTCTGTATTACAATATGGGCTGTGCAATAGAAACGGTGTAAATTATATTAGAATTTATAATATAATTTCTGTTTCTATTGCACTTAGCCCAAATATCGATATCGGTGATAGTTAAATCAAAAACCATCCATGCGTTTTTCTCTAATGAATCAAAAATCTAAAACTTCCTTTATTAATTATGATGACGAAACAGCATGATGGATACTCTTAATTCTATGTAAAGATATCACAATTCTATACAATTTTCAATTATATATTTCTTGATTTCGAAGTAATTTGAAAAGTGGTGCAGCAATTTGAGAGAATCCTTTTACAAATTTCCTATAGTATCCAGCAAGTCCTAGGAAAGATCTTAATCCTTTGATAGTTCTTGGTTGAGGAAAGTCTTTTATCTTCTG